GAGGTTTCTCTACAAAGGGATTCGATAAAACGGCGTTCACTAAGACGAAATGAGCTTCAGTCACTTTCCATGGTCCCAGGTGTTGCTTGAGGTTTCGTGCAACGACAGCCCTGGCAGCTTGCCCTCATTGGTGCTAGCCCATCCGTGGCAATCAGTTCATCGAGCGACGTTTCATTGACAGATCATTTCGACATGCAATGTTTCATCGAGATTTGTTTCATTGGCAGCTCAGATTAGCTCATGATACCACACACCACAGCGCACTATAGCAAATAACACTCACACCTTACACACGAAAAATAAAGCAAAATTCAAACAACCCGCGCTGACTGACAACTCTTTTTATATAACTTTGTCTTCTTCAACCTCTAGCACCACCGAATTTCCCAATTCACGCGCACCGATCTCCTAGATGCCTAAAAATGTTTTCTCTTTTTCTGTCAGGTGTAAAGATGGTGTACTTATACAGTTGTTATAGTTCCTGGCGATATGTTCTGCTTCGATAATTTCTCGAGTTAATTGGTTTCTGTTCCTGCCTAAAATTGTACAGGATGGCAAGTGAACGTCGCACCCACAATCCCGGCAGTGTATGCCTAGATGCCCTGAGTTGGCTCTGGAGCTGTTGTTGTTGTGTTCCCGGAGCCTATCGTTAAGGCATCGTCCGGTCTGACCAATGTACACTTTCCCGCACGAAAGGGGAAATGAGTACACCACTTCATCGGCACACTCAACGAACCTGTTCTGATGGTTTTTGGTGCAGCATACTGTTCGGTGGAAATCAGGTGAGGTGACTTGTTTACACAAGTTGCCAAGCTTATTGGGAGCAGTAAAGACGACAGTGATGTTGAACTTGTTTGCAATTTTCTTGATTCCATGGGAGAACCTGTGGAAGTATGGAAGCACGACAGGTCTCGTAGATCTTTCTCTGGCTCTTGGTGTGATATATGATGTCGTATTTTTTGTTTTCAAGATGCTCTCAGCAATCGATGTTAATAATGACGTGGGATATCCGGCGGATGTTAATCTGGAAATTTGGGCATCGAAGCTTATTGAAATAGAATGCTCGCAAGATTTTTGAAGAGAGTTACTTAGACATAATTTGACGATTCCTCTTTTTACTAGCTTAGAATGTGCCGAATTGTACGGAAGAATTGGTTTTTTATTTCTTGGCTCATACTTCCAGCATATATGAGTGTGTTGTAAATTGAGCCTGAGATCGAGGAATCGGATTGATCTTTCTTCCGGAAGCTCGTAAGTAATTTCCAGTGGTTTTAGGCAGTTTTTAAAAGTAGATAGAACACCGGCAATAGTGGTTGGAACATTACTGTTCTCGGCGTCAAGAATGATCAAATAATCATCGACGTACCGAAATACTCTAGCAACTCTGGTGGAGTCTAGCCAATTGTTCAAGAGTCTGTCTTGATGGGCGAGATAGAGATCACTTAGCACTGGGGCAATGCACGACCCAATGCAAACACCTTCTGTAGATAGGTTTTTCTTTCCAGGTAATAAAGGTGGAGTGTAGATAAACCGAGAGTAGATGTAGAAAATTGTCTTCGGAAATACCCGCAGAAGTTTGGAACGCTATGCCACCAAAGGAGTCAATACTCTCTTCTACACATCGCAAAAGACCGCCCTGGGGCAGTTCGTAGTACAGGTCTTTTATGTCGATGGAAAAAGCTTCTAGGTGATCATAACTCTGCTGTGACAGGAATTGGATGACCTCATTGGAACTCTTAATTAAGAAAGGGTCGTCAATTGTGAGAAGGTTTAGCTTTTCTTTGAGAAAAGCTCCCCCACGCAGTGCAAAATGTTCTCAGTCTTGGTCCAAAATTTGCTGTGGAACCAAAAAGGTCACCGCATGAAATGCTATCGTTTGTCCGCCAGGTCTCGCGCCGTGTTCCTGAGTTGGAAGTCGACCGGGTTACATCTGAAGGAGTTGACCTGCTACTCCGAAAAGTACCGCAGGCCTCTTCTATTTCTACCAGGAGGGTGGTTCAATATCTACAAGAGAATTCCTTATTTCTTTTGCCTGCCGACAAGGAAGGAGGCTTCGCTGTCATGCACCAAGATATGTATGGGACAAAAGCCATCTCAGCGATTGAGTCAGTTTTTCAATGTCAAGAAGATGTCTCCCTGAGTAAGGCCAAAAAATATGCTAGACAATTGTGCCAGTCGTATGAACTGAAAAGTCTTTGCACCCACATCGATCGCAACAAGTTGCTAAGCCTCAGTGTATTTTTCAGTGCCAAAACCCATAAACCCGGTTATCCCTTCAGAGTCATTGTATCCGAAAAGGGAACTTGGCAAAAATCACTCGCCCTTTTTCTCAAAGAAAAGCTAAACCTTCTCACAATTGACGACCCTTTCTTAATTAAGAGTTCCAATGAGGTCATCCAATTCCTGTCACAGCAGAGTTATGATCACCTAGAAGCTTTTTCCATCGACATAAAAGACCTGTACTACGAACTGCCCCAGGACGGTCTTTTGCGATGTGTAGAAGAGAGTATTGACTCCTTTGGTGGCATAGCGTTCCAAACTTCTGCGGGTATCTCCGAAGACAATTTTCTACATCTACTCTCGGTTTATCTACACTCCACCTTTATTACCTGGAAAGAAAAAACGTATCTACAGAAGAAAGGTGTTTGCATTGGGTCGTGCATTGCCCCAGTGCTAAGTGATCTCTATCTCGCCCATCAAGACAGACTCTTGAACAATTGGCTAGACTCCACCAGAGTTGCTAGAGTATTTCGGTACGTCGATGATTATTTGATCATTCTTGACGCCGAGAACAGTAATGTTCCAACCACTATTGCCGGTGTTCTATCTACTTTTAAAAACTGCCTAAAACCACTGGAAATTACTTACGAGCTTCCGGAAGAAAGATCAATCCGATTCCTCGATCTCAGGCTCAATTTACAACACACTCATATATGCTGGAAGTATGAGCCAAGAAATAAAAAACCAATTCTTCCGTACAATTCGGCACATTCTAAGCTAGTAAAAAGAGGAATCGTCAAATTATGTCTAAGTAACTCTCTTCAAAAATCTTGCGAGCATTCTATTTCAATAAGCTTCGATGCCCAAATCTCCAGATTAACATCCGCCGGATATCCCACGTCATTATTAACATCGATTGCTGAGAGCATCTTGAAAACAAAAAATACGACATCATATATCACACCAAGAGCCAGAGAAAGATCTACGAGACCTGTCGTGCTTCCATACTTCCACAGGTTCTCCCATGGAATCAAGAAAATTGCAAACAAGTTCAACATCACTGTCGTCTTTACTGCTCCCAATAAGCTTGGCAACTTGTGTAAACAAGTCACCTCACCTGATTTCCACCGAACAGTATGCTGCACCAAAAACCATCAGAACAGGTTCGTTGAGTGTGCCGATGAAGTGGTGTACTCATTTCCCCTTTCGTGCGGGAAAGTGTACATTGGTCAGACCGGACGATGCCTTAACGATAGGCTCCGGGAACACAACAACAACAGCTCCAGAGCCAACTCAGGGCATCTAGGCATACACTGCCGGGATTGTGGGTGCGACGTTCACTTGCCATCCTGTACAATTTTAGGCAGGAACAGAAACCAATTAACTCGAGAAATTATCGAAGCAGAACATATCGCCAGGAACTATAACAACTGTATAAGTACACCATCTTTACACCTGACAGAAAAAGAGAAAACATTTTTAGGCATCTAGGAGATCGGTGCGCGTGAATTGGGAAATTCGGTGGTGCTAGAGGTTGAAGAAGACAAAGTTATATAAAAAGAGTTGTCAGTCAGCGCGGGTTGTTTGAATTTTGCTTTATTTTTCGTGTGTAAGGTGTGAGTGTTATTTGCTATAGTGCGCTGTGGTGTGTGGTATCATGTGCAACCAACTCGCCCAAGCTGCTACGTTAATCAGATTAGCTTTTTCCTGTCATAAGCTGCATGAGACTGTCGCTGCGAAGCGGCGTATACGGGTGACCCGAACTTCGAGTATCCCTCGGAAACTGCCCGACCCCTGTAAGTGTTCGTACATCAACTTATCCACGAGGCCAAAAGCTGGAAAAACCCAAATCGAAGAAGAGCAAGGTCCAGCCCAGTGAGGGGTGTCTGTACTGCGGAGGTTGCCAAAGGATTAAAAGCCTGTACACTGTTTCACCTTACGTTGTACGGCAGCGAAGGCTAGAAGTGCAAGCTCATAGCATTGGCAGCTGCACTCTGTGCAGGAGAGCTTGTGCCGCCGAGACGTGCCCTAGAGCAAGCAGCTCACGCTTATAGCCTTTCCTGCAGTACATAAGGTGAAATAGAGCATAGGACAAGTCGGGCTCACCTCGCTTGATGACTGGTCCATCATGGAGAAAGGAGAAACGGAACCCAGGGGTAAGACTTGAACAAAAACAATCTACTAAATTTCGTGACAGCAACATCATGCAATATCAAGGTGGAACTACTTCAAAAACGCAGATGACGTCACTTGAAGAGCTACATCACCGTCAAGGCCATGTCCCAGTCACAAAAGAGCTGGCCCTATAAATGCTGCATATTTAAACCACCCACAAACTATTTACATAAAAAGTCAGCAACTTCCTCAATGTCCCAGCCATCGCTACAACAAAATACAGAATCCCAAATCCTCCGTCTCCAATGGCTTCGTATCTACATATGCCGTTTTGCACTTAGCCACTTGAAGAGACACTTAAGTTGTGGATGAGATCGTCCTTTTATGGAGTTAACTCAGTCCACGTGCCCCAAGAATTCCAGAAAATCCGATTACTATCGTGCATGGCTCTTCTTCCCCCAATCACAACACACCCCTTCTGCGAGATACATCTCGGAGCACGGGACACGTCGCAACGGGCCAAAATTTTAATGGGGGAAAGGAATGTGCACAATCGCAGTTTTGGATCTGGTAGGATGCTTAGGGCACAGATTGAGGTACAGCCATAAAAAGATAATCTAGAACCCACTTCAATGCCCCTTAATTGCGCAAGAAGCACCACTAAATCCAGATGAGCAGTGTCTTTATTCACAGCTGAACCATAATGATTGTTTGCATACAAATCTGTGTCGCTGCAACAAGACTCGCGCTTGTGAAGACATGTGGAATGGTTACACGCATGATTCTCTTTCTTTTTTTTCCGTTTTAGGCATTTCTTACTACAACAATCGTCGGCAGAAAAAAACGAGTGATGGCTAATCTGGACGCTCCTCTTTAAACAATCAATCTCGGCGAAGAAAATGAAAGAAATCCCCATCTATCCGTCTTGTGGGACCCCAACGTAATGAGAAATGGTCATCAACGGCACCCCCTCCAAAATGGCATTCTCTGTGGGTTTTTTTTTTTTTTTATGTACACGAGAGGAGAGCTAAGATTAACTTGTGCGAATGAACCAAAAATAAAACGAGAACTCCCAAATCCAAAAAGGTGTGGAAAAATAGAAGGAAAAAAAAAGTTTATGAAGACGCGAGAAAAGAGGACAAAAGAAGGAAACTAATGAAACCGCAGAGTCGAGCCGCCGACAGAGAGGCGGGAGCTCATCGGGGGAAGAATCCCCGAAGAGAGTTGGCAGAGGCCAGGCGCATTAGCTCCCAACTTCACGTTCAAAATATGATTCCGGGGGATGCACAAGACAACAGCCAGAAAACAGACGAAAAAAAGCTGGCCGACGCGCGCGAGTAAAAAAAAACGGGGGACAAACGACAGGAACCAAGGTTGCACTTTCCGTATCTCGAGTCGTTCGTCGTCGCTCTTCGAAATAACCAAGGAAAAGGAAACATCCGTCGCTTTGGGTGAGGCGAATCGATCGGCCGTGCCGGCACTTACTGGTTGCCCGATCGGTAGTACTGTGACGTCGCCCCGCCCGCACCCGCGAACTGCCCGCCGTAACTGTTGTACTGGCCCTGTGCCGTGGCGTAGGCGGGGGCGGCCTGTGGATTGGCTGCGGCCGGCTTCTGAGCCCCCGTCGCCCCCGCCGTCTGGTAGGCGGTGGTCGGATACGAGGTGCTGTAGCCCTGATTCGCCGCGGACCCAAAGGCCTGGGAACCCACGTTAGCCGCAGCTCCGAAGCCCTGCGAACCCGCGTTCGCCGCCGCGCCGCCAGACTGGTAGCCTTGCTGACCGGCACCGGGTGCGGCTCCCTGGTACTGCTGAGGGTAGCTTGTGTACGCAGCCGTTTTCGGCTGTTCTTGCTGAGCGCCACCCGCGTACGCATTCTGCGTGTAGCTGCTGTAGGCCGCCCCGCCTTGCGTCTGGCCTGCTGCAGCGCCGTACTGCTTGGGGTAGCCTCCGGCGGCGGGTTGGGGTTTGGACGCAGTCTGCGGGTAGCTCGTGTAGTAGCCGGTGTTGGAGGCTTGAGCCGGCTGCGCCGACTGCGGCGGCGGTTGCGCCTGCCCGCCCTGCTGCTGCTGCTGTTGTTGTTGCCAGCTGTATCCGCCCCGGCCTCCACCGCCTCCCCCGCCTCCCCCGCCACCCCCTTGGCCCTGCCCGTAGCTCTGCTGTGGCCCCCTAGAGTAGCCCTCCCGGCCACCCCCCTGCTCATAATTGTTGCCCTGCTGGTGGTCGTTGTATTGGGGTCGACCCCCGTAACCGCCCCCGTCGTGACTCCGCCCACCTTCCCCGCCTCCCCTTCCTCCGCCCCTCCCTCCCTGGTAGCGGGAACCGCCCCCGTCCTCGTACCGTCCACCGCCGCCCCCTCCATTGCTCCTGTCTCCGTAAGACGACGAACGGTCTCGATCCCGGTCCCGATCTCCGCCGTAGCCGCCGCCGCCACCCCGCCCCCCTCCCGCGGTCCCCGTATCCGCCGTCCCGGTCCCTGAACCCGCCGCCCCGTCCTCCCCGGTCCCCGAACCCCCCACCGCGCCCGCCCCTGTCGAAACCACCGCGGCCCCCTCTGTCCCCGAAGCCCCTCCCGCCCCGGTCCCCGAATCCCCCGCGCCCTCCTCGGTCCCCGAAGCCACGCCCCGCCCCTCCCGAAGCCGCGCCCGCCCCTGTCGCCAAAGCTGCGGCCCCTGTAGCCGCCGCCGTCGTCGTCGCGGCCTCCGTCTCGGCCGCCGTCCCGGTATCCGCCACGACCTCCCCTGAAGCCGCCGCCCCCACCGCGACCGCCATATCCACCGCCGCCTCGCTCCCTGCGGTGCCCGCGGTCTCTGTCCCGGTCGTCGTCGACGGGGGGTCCCCACCGGCTGCTGCCGCCCCCCGCCCCCGCCGCCACTGCCGCCGCCGCTACGGCGGCTACGCTTGGACGACCGGCCGTAGTCTTCGTCCGAAGAGCGGCTGCGCGACCTGCTCCGGGAGTAGGAGCGCCTCCTCTCGCGGTCCCGGTCCCGGTCTCGGTGACTGCCGCTGCTGTGGTGGTGGTGGTGGCGATCCTCTTCCTCTTCGCTGCTGTCGCTGTCTTCCGCGTCGTCATCCGCACCCTCGTCGTCCGGACCCGCCCCTTCGCCCTTGGGACCGCCCAGTTTGTTCGTCGGCAGAGGAGGGCCTGTCGACACAAATCGCCGTCAGGGCTGCACGCTAAAGGTTTGTTTAGAGTCCGACACAATGCAGTTCGGCGGCGGATCAGTTTGCTTTCAACAATGTTTTCTCGTTAATGGCTCGGGTGTGAGGAGTAGACTGCAAGATCCCTCTGCTATGGTGTGAACAGTGGTAACCGCCAAAGTAAAAAAGATCTTGACTAAAGAAAGTAATTATTTTATTTAAATTTTTGTAGCTAGAAAAAAGCTATTATTTAATATTCAATGTATTTTAAACGTGGTAGATTAATTGACCAATCCGTCCAGTCACTGAAAACAATGCGGAAGAATTACTGCACATTTGACCGTTGAAAGTACAGTTTAATTAACAACTTTTTACTGCAATACTTGCAATACTTGGAACAAAAGCAGTTTGATTTGCTTAGTCAGTGATAAAGCTTTAGTTGCTTTTTCTTTTGATTTCTGAGTTTGCTTACTATAGGACTTACCGTAGGATACTGCGCATCCGACCATTCCACACTAAGTGCCCATTCCCAAAATTGCAAGATGTGAGAAAATATGCATGGTAGATTTTAATGTAAAATTGAGGCCTGGACAAGCACCCATCCCCGATTTTTTCGCGATTAGCTCTATATTTTAAGTGGGTGCTTGCCCGGTATTTTATGGTAATTAACTAACCAACAAAGTCAAAGGTATAGAAAAGTTTAACATTCCTATTTGTTTGTGTTTAGCCTGCTATAAATCCTTCTTGCTTGATGATCTTTTAATTTAGTTATAAAACAAATACATATTTGTTATAATGCTGTACTGTTTTGAATTCTGCCCTTTCACTGTTTTTTGTTGACGTTGCATCGCCTGTGTTTCGTAATATTTTTGCCTATGATTTTTTTTCAATGGATCCTCAGTTTTTGACTGGTATGGAATATGTAAACTTATTAAAAACTTTCCTCGTGTCCAGGTTATGACGATATTAATCCCCCATTTCTAAAAAAAGACAAAGCTCAAGTTTATTTGTTGATAATACTGTCAGATTGTCAGATCTTTTTTGCAGTCATCAGAATCATCTCTGCTTCCAGACGACTGGAGAATGGGGAAGGTGGTTCCCCTGCACACGTCTGGTAGCACACATTGTCCCAATAATTATAGTCTCATTTCTCTAACCAGTACTCATTTCTCTAACCAGAACTCATTTCTCTAACCAGCATAACATGCAAACTCCTGGAATATGTGATCTACAGTAATACCAAAAAGTTTCTCGGATGAAATACTTTTTTTTTAGTGTTCATTAACACAGCTTCAGGAAAAATTACTCATGAAAGACTGAGCTTCAATTCTTTACTAATGATTTATTCTCTGCTATAGATAGTTCATCAACTGTTCACTGCATTTTCATTGACTTCCCCAAAGCTTTTGATACTCTCTGCCATAAATTGCTTTTGTACAAACTAAGTAAGTAAACTTAATCTGGACCCTAGCGTTTTAAAATGGATTGAATCCTTCCTGTCTAACCCCATGCAATTCGTAACTGCTAATGAATTTAACTCCTCAGTGCCCTGTAATGTCTGGTGACCCACAGGGATCAGTGCTAGGACCCCTATTGTTCCTCAACTAGACTAACGACTTACCTATTAGCATTTCCTCATCAATAAAGTTGTCTGCAGATGAGTGTGTCATTTATGGGAACACTATGAGTCCTTCTGATCAAGTAGACCTTCAATCTGACCTAGATGACATTTCTTCTCGGTGTGATACTTGGCTCATGAAATTCAACACTACTACATGCAAATTCATGAAAATTTCATGTCACGCCTCCGAAGCTACGCGAACAGTTTACTCACTTAACAACGGCCCCTTAGCCCAACTTAGTTCATACAAATATCTCGGCGTTCACAGAACTGATAACTTTTCTTGGCAAACTCAAATTATGACTATGTAACAAGTAACGCAAATCATACTCTTGGCTGCTTACGGCAAAACGTTTCTTTAGCACCCTCTAGTTTGGAACTTCTGCTTTATGAAACTGGTAAGACCAAGACTTAAATATGCCTAATCCATTCAGGATCCTCATTTAAACTCATTCATTCTTAACATAGAGGCCATCCACAATCGTTTTGTGGATTTAATTTTTTTATAACTTCTTTCGCACTGCTAGCGTCGCAGCAATGAAATTGAATTTACACTTGCCCAATCTCGCTTTACGCTGTATAATCTTCAGACTTTGTCTTTTTCACAAGACCTGAGATTTTAACCCGTTTCTCAGAGACTTATTTTTGTAGCCGCCTTCACACGTCTTTTCCCGCAACGACCATCGTTTCAAGGTTGGCGTGCCCAACAGTCGAAACAATTTGCGTTTTTGTTCCTTCATTCCCACCACAAGCAGCGACTGGAACCACCTCTCGGCCTCCACCGCAGACACCTGCCTGTTCGAATATGCCACTTATAAACACATACAGTTGAACCTCGATTTAACAAAACTCGATTTTACGAATTTTCCGATTTAACAAACAAATACGGATTCCCCGCGCAGCCCATGCGCAAGCTATCCCTTCCTCGATATTACAAAGTTCCCGATTGAACGAAATAATTAGAGGGTCCTAATGACTTCGTTAGATCGAGGTTCAACTGTATTATAACCCCGCCTTTTTTTTTTTGCTTATGTTGTCATAACTTTTTACCCACCCACTCCGTAGTGCTTTGGCCTTGAGAGTAAATAAATATAGAAAGAACGAAATTAGCGATAAATGGTAAATTAGAAGCATCTTGGGAAACATTTTTGCAGGGTTAGGTTTAAACTGTCACAGCAAAACCGGCACGACTCACATCACAATCTAATCTCCGCCCTGGCTATCACAAAATTCAACTGCTAATGCCGACTCCCCCCCTCGGCACTCAATCTATGTGAGCGACGGAAACGAGGACGGAGTTGCGTTCGCTACCGACGTTGCGCGCCTCCCTCCGCAAATTTCTTTCCCGCGCGAATGCCGCTCAAAAGGCTCCCCAAAGCCAGGAATGAGGCAAGGCGTCCCTCACCGGTGCCCTCCGCGGCCGCCTTGGCCCACTGGGCGAGGGAGACCAGCTTGTCGCTGGGCTCCAGCTGGGAGCTCCGCAGCAGGTCAATGACCCCCTGGGCATGGTGCCCCAGGAAGTTGGTGAACAGGGCGTGCACCTCCTTCACCTTGAGCTGGGACGCGTGCTGGCGCAGCAGGCGGGCAAAGTCCCCGGGAGCCGCGGGGAAGTCGTACACCACCAGGTACTTCACCTCCTCCCGACCTGCCGGACAGGCCTCGTCAGATAAGTTTCACCAGATAGGCCTCGTCACATAAACCTTGTCAGATGGGCCCTATTAGATAAGTCTCATCAGATAGGCCTCGTCACATAAACCTCGTCAGATGGGCCCGCTTCTCTTGGCCCACGTAAGATACAACCACAAGAAAGCCCCTCTGCTACACCCTACGACGAACTGCTGCAGATGCCGCGAGCAATCTCAGCCAGTCCAGTGCCACGAACATATCGTGTCACAGTGTTCCATGCCTGCTGCTCTCAAGGGTCGTGCGAAACTCGCACGTCACTGGAATGGTTTCAGTGGCTCGCGGTGTCTGCTGCAGGTGATCATAAAAACCTCACGGCGAAAGTTACGTAATTGACGACTAGCTGCCTCAACAAAAAGCACTCTTCTCCGATCTGTACTTTTATATGGCTGTGGCCGGAAAGATGCGGCACCCTTGTTTGCCGCTTTGGAAAATATTACGTCCCCCCCGTTGTTGGTGGGCATAGAGAGGACACATGAAGTTGCTCATAAAGACGGGCAGGCCACTCACCCACGTCCTTCAGCGTCGCGGCGGTTGCGACGAGCAGCTTCAGCTTCCCCGACCTAAAGTCTGAAACGGTGCCAAAATGGTGTCAGGATGCACAACAGAACTCAGCAGGGCCAGGCAGCTCCCGGATTATGAATATCTCGGAATTCTAATTGTAAGTTCTTGCGAAACAAAAGATTGCCTCTTATTCAAAGACGAATCCCGTTGGCGCAAAACTCACCTTTCATAACAGAATCCCGTTCGGAAGTCTTGGCCTTTCCCCGACCGGCAATCAATGCACCGGCAGGGTAACTGAAAGAAGAAAGAAAAAAATCCCTGCACACCGTGTTTTTTTTTTTACTTTTTCTTTTTCCCTTTTTAGTGTGCTGTCCAAGTTGTCAAGTTCATCCACCCAGGTATCCCTCGAATAATAGCATATAAATATAAGACTAAAATATTTTCATTGATAGGCTCGACTCGCTCGAAATCTGAAGGTTGGACTTTCTTTTTCTGCTGCGACCAAAAGTAAACATTCCTTCTACTACACAGATACGTACATCAGTACAATGTGGCACACCCTTTGCATCAAGGAGCTGCAGTAATCTTTTTCACCAAAAATGCAGATCACACCGTAAATAGTGTCTTAAACAATAATACTATTCTGAGATGGAAGAAAAATAATGCAGTAATGACGAAACTTCTGCACAACACAGACCTTCAAAACTTGACTTAAATCGGTTTCTGCCTTTTGCACTACGCAGTGCAATACTCTCATCGTTCGAAATTTCCACCGATGGTCAGTCTTCCACCAACAGGTCTCAGACTTCACTTTGACCAAAAGCAATAAAGGCAGGGCTCACTCACTCTTTGTGGTCCACCCACTTCTGCGTGTTCCTCACTTTCCGCTTCGTCTTCACCAAGACAAGTGTCTGCAAGGCAAGCGAGAAAGCATGAATGCACGGTTGCCATTACACATTCACGTCCCTTCGCTCGGAACGATAACGGAAGTCCCTTAGGGCCACGGATCCGGGGATTTGCGACCTTCGTCAAACTGTCCATTTGAGAAGGAACCTTCAGACACCGTATGGTAAACCTGGCAGTTGCCAACACTCCTGAACTTTGAGAAGACGGAACCACGCAGCGCCGCGACCGCGTTACATTCGAATGACCCGGGGCTGGAAGGGTCGGGGACAACGGCTCACCTTTGAATTGGCGTCTTTCCTGAAGGTCTCCTCCAACAGCGTCTGCAGCCTAAAATGTGCGAATTGGGGCGATTTTAACATCATGGAGATGCAAACAACAGACCGCAGAGCACGAGGACATGCGCACCGGGTGAGATACGAGACGCAGTTCCGACTAGACATTCGTTCGTTAGAAAAGTGACGACACGTCGCCCACTTCGCCATATTTGTGCACAAGGGGCGCAGCAAGCGGACAACGTAGTCGTTTGCGATGGCGCCACGGCTGCCACCCTCGCTAAACCGGCCATCTGTGTCATCGTGCGCCATTGGCCACGCCAGGTTCGTTAATCGAGTCTTTCGCGGCAAGAAAGCTACGCCTCGAAATTTCCCAAGGTAAAGTGCACCATTGCAATACGCATCTGATATTGCTACAAGCAGGTACCGATCTTTCCAGGGGCAGATTTATCGGTCAGGCCAGGGAAAGGCAGTAGGCTTTTGGCTGGCGAAGGAGGGGGGGAGTCTGCTGAGATATGATGTTACGGTCGAAATTTTGCCCATATCTATAATGTTGATCCAATATTTGCTATGTCACCAAAATCTAAACTTTTGGCTGGTGTATATGAATGATTTTATTCAATAAAAGTTGACCTTGGAAAGCCTTTGGGGGGGGGGGGGGGGGGAGGGGGGGGGGGGGGTCATTCTTTCTGTTCCTTCCTTAAATCCGCCCCTGGATCTTTCCGGAACATTTCGGAGCAAGCCCGAGCGAAAAAGAAGCACCTTATAGAAGCCACACCTCATTTTGTTCTTTCTCAATCCTTTCGGAGAAGACCGAGGAGCATTCGCCAACGGACGTTGCAATTCTGGCAACTGGTCGTAGCCGTTCAGCAACAAGGACGAGCCAAGACGAGTCAACACGGGAGTCGCCCTCGTCTCGGCATCCCAACTACCGGCTGCCGAAGCCACAGTCAGCCGTCGGGCTGGAGCGAGTGACCCGCAGAGCGACGGATGCCCGTCGAATCTGGCTTCGCCGCCGTGCCCCCCCAGCGATCGTGGGCGAGCAATGGTGTGCCGTACGCGACGTCGTGGGGCCGAAATCGAGGGGCCGAAATCGAGGGGCCGCGAATGTGAACACGGTAACCACGCTATAAGGTCGCTGACCGATTTTTTCGGATGGCGATAATTCGGTGTCTTTCGATGTTTCGTACCATAAGGAAGGAACCGCGACCGACCCGACAGGAACAACGCACAACCACAACCGACGTTTCGGAGAGCTTAAAGCGCACTTGACACATCAAAATCTTTTTTTTTTTATTATCCGAAACGATTGAAAACGATGCCGGGACATTACCCTCAAAATTCGAAATTTAAATATTCAGTATTTCTAAATTTAAAAAAAACTATTTCCAAATGCCGAATTTCAAGCTCCCGCGCGATCCGCGCCAGTGCAGTGAGTCAAATTTTGTGGTCACCTGCGACTCGAATTTCTTTCAGACCTCCGCTCCACGCTATGAGAAGCAAAGCGCCGTTCCCACCGCGACCCGAAACAAGGAGGAGGTGGGCAGGCGGGATAGAAGGGCGCCGGCATGGGAAAAAACCGGCTTCTTCCCTGACTCGCCAATCACCCTCTGCTCGAGTGCCGCCAAGTTTTCCGAGGGAGGATACAAATCCAGGAAGCGACATCACACCGTAATCTGATTTTTGGTATTTCAAAAAGAGGGGCCGTAGTGCAATCACAATTGCGTTAAAAAACATGTTTTGTGATTGCCGTTATTAAATGTTATAGAAATGTCGCCTACAAAGCTTCTAAATTTCCTGATTTTTGACGTTACCGATCAAAAGAAGCAAGGAGGTGAGCGCGGGAAATATAAACGCCAAAAATAAAAAGGCACGCGAGCGTGCGCAAGGAAATTTTTTTTTTTAATGCAATTTTTTTTTTTTTTTTTGCATGTTTATGACCATAACTTGCATCGCTTTAGACAATTAAAAAGAATACGACCTTTGGGGTGTCAGTGCCCCTTTAAAGTCGGAAAGTTTGATTCTTTGGACAAAACCGTCGCGAGCGATCGGCGGGAAACGCCGCCGAGGAGCCACCGTTATAGACGCTTTGCAGCAGCTGTGCATGGTCGCCGCCATAACTGACCTTCAGTTTTTGTTTCCTCTTATTACGTTTACTTCACTACATTATTACCACAGCAGGCTAGGTCATTGCCATCCTAGATTTAATTATGTCTTTCTCCCCAGCACTGGCCTTTGTGGAGGCTCGTTCACACCAATTTCAGTGGCTCGGTATCTCGGTAAAACAAGAGAAGGTCAGCAATGGCGGCTGTATTCTGGCGCGTGTGTAAAGCGTCTATAGATTCTATCCTGGCTGCACGCGGGTCAGCTCAATCTGGCAGTGCTACTCGAGCGCTGCTAAGTCCTACCACTAGGTGACCCTATGCTACGTCATTATCGTCATCGTTACTGTTTTGCTTCGTTCGTTCGCCAATCTGCAGTCGTGGACTTGCGCCTCTCATTTCCTCTTGGTGATTCGCGTCTTCGGACTACGCTGGCTTGGACATTGTGGCCCCGTCCTTTCTACCGCTGCTGCAAGGTGTCGCTACAGAAGCGTGAAATGTACTTGACCATGACGCTAAAAAAGAAGCCGGCAATTCTCAAGCTAATAGAAAGTGGCAGAACACAAGCGGAGGCGTAACCTGAAGCGAGGCACTATCAACGACTTTCTTAAGCCCGCTTGGGCGTCATAGAGGCAAGTTTTTTTAAATCTGCCGATTCTTTGGACTGCTTCGTTATTCAGACGTTTTCTCAGTCCCTGCAAAGTACGAAAAATAAGTCGAAAAACAGGATCAGAATGGTGGGGCATCTCTTTTGGATGCCCGTCAACCAGCATGTGCATGCCCAAGGCCCACGAGATGCACAAGCGTCGTCGAATGTCGGAAGCTCGCGCTGGGGGCAAGCTAGAAAACTTTTCTGCCGTTTTCGTTCCTTCGGTCGACCGCAATCGAGAACGTGTTTCGGGGAAACTCACTCGGCCTTCTTGTTGCTCTCGTCGGAGACGACGTGGACGTGGACGGCGACGCCGCTGGGCAGCGCGGCTGTGTCCACCTCCCCGAGCCTGGCCATGATGGGGTTCGAGGCGAGGGAGGCAACCAGGCGGCTGGCGTCGGGCAACCATGTGCGACTCAGGGCCACCAGCTGTCGCTCGGGCTGCGAGGTAGATGGGGCCTCGTACGTACGGTGTCGCATTTTTCGGCGCAAGACGACAAACCCCGAAAAGTAACCACCGAAATGATTTCATTCAAATATAGAAGAAAAAAATCAAGCTTCCTGTCAACCAACGAGGTAGAGGGGCTTAGAGCAATAAACTGGCAGCTTAAAGTGACCCCTACCCAGCCGCCGCAGCGTTTCACATTTTTGACCACTAGACACAACTAGATTTTAACGAAGTACCGCGCACAGATAATTGCTTATTGATCTTTAATAACAATACCGACGATAAGTTACGTTTCATTTGTTTTAAGTCTCAAATGGGCTTTTACGACAAAAACACTGGCAGCTTTGCAATGGCTCCACTAGATGCCGCCAGCCACGGTGCTGTATTTTGGGTTTTTATGGCCGATTCACACGACAGACTGATCCGCGGACGGATTGATCACATGACGACATGCCCGCGGTTTGTCCGTCTCCCAAGAGCATCCACACAAGGGAGACGAGCAGACGCCTCGTCACTGCTCGACACTGCCGCGAAACTCCAACATCGCACCGCGGCACCGTTGTCGAAAAGAGAAATCGACATTTGCCACCACAATCAAGAATCGTACGCCGCTGTTACGTACAGATCGAGACAAAAAAACGCGATAGTCTTCGCGCGAAACGCCACTAGCTTTCCTAACCCAAAGGATGACAGTGATACTGGCATGGTCCTGCTTGAGAAGGGTTCGGCGTAGAGGCGACAAAGTTCTGGGCTCATGAAGGGGCGTCTGGAGGTGTCTTCACGCACTCCGCACTCGTGCACAACACTCAAGCACACCACAGCCATAAGAGAGGTCTTGCTCGGTGAAATCCTGAGTGGACGTGCAAGAATTATCGCGGCGTGCTAGAGGAGTTTTGACGGTAACTTATTCACACGGACCCAGAGGCGTACCAGAACCTCTGTCGCGTCAGCCGGACAAAGTTTCTGCAGTTTCTTTCACGCGTGGAACCGAGAATCGCGCGACAAACTGAACCAGCGAGCGCACAATCACAACGATGCGCCATTTTTGTTTTAATCGTCCAGAAAAAAAAAAAAGAAAACCATGCACTGTTGCCAGACTAAACATGTTTCAAGTCAATCTCCCGCCGAAAATCCGCGAGTGAAAAAGGCGCTCGACTTTATCAGTCCGCGTGTCCGCGGACGAGGAGCGGATCGCAGGAATCGGTGATGTGTTGGTCACGTTGTACACGGTCCGCGTCAAAAATCACAATTCGGTTCGTTGTGTGAATCGGCTATTATCGGAGCTATACACTGATCTCTGGGGCTAACAGTATTGAAAAATAGTTTATCTTGTTTTTTACAATTATCGCAATACAAATCTTGGCTCAGTTTTGCATAAAAGCCTCAGGATTTGGAGCGGTAACGTGTCTAGTGGTCAAAATTGTACGACATGGGGCAGCGCGGTTGGAGGGGTCACTTTTGCCAGGTGAACGGGATACCGGTTTATCGCTTTAATAGCCGCGTCCCATTGGAGCGACGGACAACCACACACGACAAAAAGCGACAAACGAAAACGGCAGACAGCCTGCTTTTCGGAGTCTGCCGTCCCACCTGGAGGACACGACGCAGAACACAAGGAAAATGCAACTTGTTTCCTAGTGGGACTGAGGTTGTCAACACAACACTTTAAAATACACAGACAAACAGAACCCGGAGACTCTGTTTTTGTTTCACTCTTAGGGCAAAAAAAGCACAAACAAACACAGAGAAAGTGGAGACAATTACTTTATTTCTTGTTTAAAGCTTCCGCTAGTCTTCATTTACTGTTGGCGACTTTCCGCAAACCGTCGTGACAATCAACACCAAACTTTTTCCGAACCAGAATTCCCGAATCGTTCATTATTTGGGTCGTTCAAGGCATTCAAGATGAGCGCCGCGGAATTTTACGCTGATTTCGAGGATGTTTATATCCAAATGTCGCAGTAGGTGTTGCTATCATTATGTTGTATAACCAGGAAAGTAAAGAGGTAGACTAAGTTACTTGTTTGTTCCACATGGACCAGGTGCATTCGTGTTCGTTCCGCTCTGACATTGACGGTCGCCGGTCTCTACATGGTGTCACAGAAGTGAGCGGCTGGCACCTTTTCTTTTTTCAAGCGACCGCACTAGCCTCGGAGGAGACCACCACGGCGGAAGGGGAAGATGCTGCTGCCGGTCCAGCAGCGTTGCCAGTCGGTGCGCTCAATCTACGAGCACCACCCCAGTTTGACTTCGGCAACCCCGAGAAATGGAAACAGTGGCATCGGCAGTTCGATGACTAGTACGTCTATCCGTCGGGACTGTACGCCGCCAGCGACTAAGTGTGTGTTCGGACCCTACCATACCCCATGGGGCTGCGAGCACGGGACGTCCCGACTTCACTACACAAGGGCAACTCAGACTTCGACTACGATTCGATCGCCAAGAAGTTCAACGCGTACTCCGTTCGCCCGGTCGATGAGCTTTACGAGAGTGCACGCCTCCAGACAGTTGCGGCAAGTGGGTGAGTCTGCAGACTTCTTTTTACGACGCTCACCAACATGGCAAGAAAATGTAACTATGCATCGCGAGAAGTGGGGGAGCGGATCATTTGCAACCGTTTCGTGGTGGAATTTGCGAGACACTAAGCTGTCGGACAGACTGTGCCGAAACACAAAGCTTAAGTTGAACGAGGCGCTCATTCAAGTTCGTCAATACGAGGATGCTGAGAGGGAACGGAAGCTGTGGGACTGGTCGGCATCAACAACCACGGCAGCTTCAACGGAAGCAAAAGCGTTAGACATTGATGCAGCAGAAGTTGTGAAGAAGTGCCTGCCAAGGCCGAACAAGCCTTCTTGCTTCGGCCTTGGCTTCCAGGACATAGAAGATGATCCAGGACCTGGAAGACATTCCAGGACCTGGTAGACCTTCCAGGACATAAAATACCTTCTAGGAGATAGAAGACCTTTCAGAACGTGGTAGACCCTCCGCAACCTGGTAGACCTTCCAGGACATAGAAGACCTTCCATGACCTAATAGGCCTCATATGACTTGGTAGGCCTTCCAGGACTTGGTAGAGCTTCCAGGACACTGATGACCTTCTAGGGCCCGATAGACCATAAGGACCTGGTGGACTAACTGACCAGCAGCGTCACCTTTCTGGTCTACCAGAAATCTAAAAGTCGCATCCCGAGGTGCCTTAACGCACCCACGGCACGACTGCACAAAGCCGCCCATGTTTGTCTGCGGTTACACGGGAAATATAAGGTGCAGGTTGCTCACGTGAGTGTCCCGGACAATCTGCTCCAGGGGTGCCTCGAAGCCCAGGTCAAGGAGGTCGTCGACCCCATACAGGACCACGCACGAGATGGTGCTAAAAGGGAAGTAGTTGGATGCGTGCACCTTCTGCAACACGGTCAGGGTCCCAATCGCCACGTGGAACTCTGGCCCCATGGAAAGAGACAAAAAAGAAAGTCGCAGTTGATCGAGCATCAGGTAACGGCACCATAAACTAACCATATAAAACATAGTATGTATGCAAAACAAGTAAACTTGCGTAATAATGAGTGCCCAAACGACAGCATCGACATGCCATTGCCCAGATATGTCATAATGAAACTGCCAATGGTAAAGTCAACTTAAGGGGAGACGCGGGTCTTAAAATGGTAAAAAAACGCGAAATTTCACGTTTTTCAAAATTCACATATTTGGATTAATTGTAGTCTAAAGTACCTGCCTGCAAAGTTTCAATGTCGAATTCAATGTCTAAGCATGAAAAAAATGATATTTACGATGTCCCCGCAGAGCCCTAACACAGCGAGTTCAATGAAAACAAGTGGAACTTCGCGCCCCGCGCGTTTCGCGATCGCTCGTCGGATCGCGGCCATCTTGGTCTTGTTGGAAAGCCGCTTATTTTCCCCACGTCCCCATGCCATTCGTTATCGCGACAACATCGGGAAACGTCCGCATTCCGCGGGTTTCGAAGGCCCCAATTGCGATCGCTCATTGGCCGGCTAGCAAGGTGCCCGTACGTCAGAGCACGCGCGGCGCTTAGCGCCCCTGCTATTGGCCTAAACGCGCCCCTCCGCTCTTTTTCTCCATTCCTCCTTTCCGTTCCCGCGCTGGCGAGAGGTGCGTCGTCTGCTCCTGGGCCCGTCTCCGCCCGTCTAGGCCTGTCTGCTTTGTTTCTTCCGTTATCGAGCGCACGTTTTAGTTCCCGTTTGCGCGCTTGCGTTGAACATTGTTGGTTCGCTTTCCTACGAAGTCGCGCGTGTTTTGTTTTGTTTCGCTTCGAGTTCTCGAGATGCCGGACGACGCTCGGTTGAAATCGAGCACGCGGCAAGCGTTCGGAAGGAAGAGGAAGCGACCGTGGAACAAGAAGCCGAAGCTGTCTGCTGCAAGTGCGCCACCGCGATCGGCACCGCCGGATGCCTTGGATCCTCCGGAAACATCAGCCGGAGACATCGCGACTCCATGCAGCAGCGGCAGTTTGTCGAGCTTTGCGAGCGCGGTTCGTGTCGACACCGCATACTACTCCACGGCCGAGCAGGCGCAACGAGTCGCACAATCGGACGAATGCAAGCGTGCGCTATCGGAAAAGTCGGCGACCCAGCGCAAATTCGACCTTCTCGGCGTCACCACAGGAGGCCAGACGCGCGACGCTGGGACACAGTTCATTGTAGTGGACATGAAAGCTCTCAACGACCTCTTCGCGCAGGCGAAGTGCGGAAGCTGCGGTGCGGGAACCCTGACACTTAGCAAGGCCACGGACAAAGAGTATGGCTTGGCAGTCAAGCTTCTGCTCGTCTGTGCCACATGCGAGTTCGAGAAGAAGCAGTTTTCTTCACCAAGAGTTGCCGGAACGGCGAAGATCACTCCTTTCGAAGTGAACATGAGGGCAATGAAGGGAATTCAGTCAATTGGGAAAGGAGTCACTGCCCTCGCAGACTTCTGTGCGTCCATGAACTTGTCACACCGCGGCCTGCATCACAAGACCTTCCAGGGACACCTGAAGACCCATGTGCAAGCCTGCGAGAAGTCAGCAAGCGCAAGTGAAGCTGCCAGCTCAGAAGTTGTCAAGAGACTGTATGCAGACTTCTTGAACCCTGTCGGCAACATCGACGTGATCTTTGACGGATCTTGGATGACGAGAGGACGCAGTTCCCACATTGGTGTGGGCTGCATTGTCGAGCTGTATTCCGGCCTAGTTCTTGACCATGTGGTGTACTCCAACTTTTGCCTTGGGTGTGCCCTGGGACCGGAGCCGGAGGAAGAGGCGTACGGCGACTGGTATGCAGCCCACGAGTGCCAGAGGAACATAGATTGCAATTCAGGTCGGATGGAAGTGGAGGCTGCATTGACCATGTTTCAAAGATTCCTGGCCAAGCACGGACTGAGGTACACCACAGTTCTCTCGGATGGAGATAGCCGAACCTTTCATGCGTTGACCGAGGCAAAAGTCTACGGCTTCGTCAAGGTCGAGAAAAAGGACGGCATCAATCATGTGCACAAGCGGATGGGGGCTGCGTTGTGTAACCTCCTTGAGAAAAAGAAGGCCCAGGGTGAAGCACTCGGCGGAAAGGGCAGACGGACGCAGGACCGAATCAAGAAGATTCAAAGCTACTACAGCTATGCCCTTAGGAGCAACAGTAACGATGTGCCAGGGATGAAGAGGGCAGTGGAAGCCACCCTCTTGCACATGACGTCTACGGACAGTGCCCCAGACCACAGCAAGTGCCCCGACGGAGCTGAGTCGTGGTGCAAATTCAACAGAGCCCTGGCAAATGGCGAGTGTCCACCTGCGCACAAGAACCCTCTTCCAGATTGTGTGCGGTCCGCCCTCGAGCCAGTGTTTGCAAGGCTCAGTGATGAAAACCTGCTGGCAAGGTGCAGCGAAGGCAAGACGCAAAATGCCAGCGAGAGCCTGCATTCGGTCATCTGGACGCAAACCTCGAAGAACGCCAATGCCTCCCTGGACAGCGTCAAAAGGGCTGCTGCCGAAGCTGTTGCCGTCTACAATCAGGGCAGGCGGGCAATGAGCGAGTCCGTTGCTGCGAGCCTGGGCTATGCTGCCGGTGACTGCCTCGTACGCAGCAGCATGGAGAAGGACAATCTGCGTTTGCGTAAGGCCAACGCTGCCCACCAGAGCAGCAGCAATGCAAAACAGAGGTTCTCCAGGCAACACCGGACTGGAACAGCTGGGGACTACAGTCCTGGACAGCTGTGAGGGGGCTCCCCTTTCGAGTGCTACATGAACAAAGGCCCTTTTCAGGGCCAAACAAAATCTGCTTTTGGAACGTGCAACCCTTAGTGCCTCCTCCCGTTGTCCCTTATAGAGTCTACTCATTCTTTTATAACTTTATTTTACATTGCAGACATTATTTCTCAGTTTTATATTATTTTTTAAAGGTTCTTGTGAACGGATCGCAGAATTTTTCATCTCAATTTGTTCAGATAGAACTATGCTTCATATTGCTGAACATTATTGCATGGGATCCCTTACTCAATTTTATGCAATGAGTGTCAAAACTTCAACTGCAATTTTCTCAGCTTCACATTTTTCGCCTGCATGCCCAGCCTTACGGTTGTTTTCATGAGATTATTCTTCAAGGATTTCTATAAACTTTATACCGTTAGATTCAGAAAGAAGTGAACTGCAGGATGATGCTATTTTTGTATGACAGTATGGGCCCGAAATTTTATTATTAGTGATAATGTGACCTCGTTAGGCTTTGTAAATAGTGTACTTGAACTAATTAGAGTAGTTTTATACAATGATCTATCTTTACAAAAATATAAATAGCATCATCTTGCATGGCAGGTCTTTAGTTATAAATCCATATCACTTATGCAAAAAAATTTGTATTAGAAAGTTCCTTAATGAGTCGTAAGAAATGACCTAATTAGGCTTCATTATTTTCTTCGTAACTCAGAAAGTAATTGAGATATTGCAGAACTAATTGAATATTTGAAAAGAGGAAGCCAAAACATATATACACACTGATTTTCATTATAATCCATTAATAAACAAAAAAGTCGATTTTAGAACCAGTGTCTTGCCTTAAAGAACAACAAAAAAAAATCATCACTATATTCATATTTTTGCTAAGCAGCTGCCTCAATGGCCTGTGCCAACAACACAAGCTTACTGTTACTTTGCTTTACTGCAAAGAAAGTGGTACAAAGGTTATAATGAGAAAGCCACCAGTCTGTAAGTACAACTTTCCTCTGCAATAAAGCCAAAGCTATGGGTGTCCGTGCAGTCGTACATAATGAGTGCTGATCAATTGTATGCACGCACATTCATTACCCCTTCTAGGTGGCACTGAAATTTGCCCCTGAGTACTTGCAGCCCACTTATAACAGGTCCACTAATACTAAACTTATGTTAGAGAAACGCATATAAAGGAAACCACAAAAATAAAATAAAGACGAGAATTTTTTACCCATACTGATGTTCTAAAATATTTATTTTTTCCCAAAATAATTATTGACTTGAATGCTCTGCGTGACCCACTGGTAGAGCTTCCTAATGTTCAATCCTTTTGATATGAAATTATGTTATTATAGTACGTTTTGACGGTTTATTTTGTTCAACCTGTGCTTGCTGTTGATCGTGTTCTCCTAATATTGTAGTACATATTGGTATGCTTCTCCAGTATGATTTGTTATTTTTTGTTACTTGTTCCGCTATATGTTTGCTTTTCTATAATTATTTCCATCCACCCTACTGTAATGCCCACCAGGCAATGTGGATACAAAAGAAATAAATGAAAAAAAAACTCGATTACACCGGGGAAGACATGGCAACACTGTCATATTGCTAAAGTCCTTTGAAGTACCACTGTGACAGGCTACTTATGTATAGTAAGTTTTTATTATGTGTAAATGGACTTCTCTGAAGATTTATTCCAGCACAAATAAGATCATCAGAAATGCATGCCAGAATGCTGTGGACAAAACTGCGGCATTTCAACTCGCTTGTTAGAGATTGATTAACACGATCAGATTTTAGTAGGTCGGAGCTGCACCAAAGAGGATGTGTCGTATTTTAGCTAAAAAATCCAAAGATTATTGAAGTTATCGACAAGACTGTAAAAGAGCATGCTCACTGACACATTAGCATGGACAATAAAAAGCTTACTTTTCTGGTTTATTTCACGGCACCTGTTATGCTTGAAATTTCACACTAGTGAACCACAGAAGCAACAAAGAACAACACTACACTACCGTAACATCTCGAGTCATCGTCCAACCCCTGCCATCTGAAATTCATAAAAAAAAAAAGTGGGGTTGGCCATGCCTCGGTGAGTAAGCACAGAAAGCTTAGAAAAAGCAAAAAAAAGTATCAACATTTTTTTGTATGTATTATTTAGTGTGACTGACACAAGAAATTCATTAAACTCAAAACTCAAATTAGTTTTATTGTTTTATGAAAGAAATACTCATGAAAGGATCTTTTACTATGGTAAAATCTGTTGCTTGTATATGTGCGATGAACACCGCCGATCGGAATACAGCGTGAGTGTTTCTTCCGCAAAAGCGTGTTTCTAACACCGCCATGTTCTTTTCGTTAATAAAAAAAAAAGTCAACAAGAAATTAGAAAAATTAATTACATGCAATGAGCGAGCGAGCAGACAAGAGAAGCAACGAAGGGAATGCTGGGGAAGCGGGAAAGCCAGCAATCACGTTGGTAAATACTTTGGCATTGGGCCAAGCCTTGTCAATTGCAAAGAGCAGGACCTTGCGCAACTTTCTTGTTAAGTGCATGCATGTGTGCGTCCGTGCAGTGTGCTATCAGCGCGGGCTGAAGCAGCATTGCTGCGTGGCGTGAATGGCACCACAAACACGGAGCTCCTTATGGGACGCTCTACTAAGGCTGTGTGCGGCGTTCCAGAAAATCTCTATTTACTTGTTGGCTTTGTCTTCACCACTGCACAACCTTGCAAACTGCAATCGCGAAGTTCTGAGAGAAGAAGCGGGTTCGCGGTGACCTTACTTCGGTGGAGACGGACTTTGACTTTGCATTCCGAGGTTACATTCTAGGATATGGGGCGTCCACTGACCTCGCAATCCCTAAACGAATCACTGCTTGTGTTACCTTTTTTGACTTTGTATTTTTGTCCGAACACTTTTCTTGTAATCAAAGCAAAGTTTTATTTTGTTACTTCCATCGTTTTCCTTTTGCACGCATGTACAATGACTTTGGGGTCCCGGAAATCGGGGAGGAAAGGCGTATACAAAAAGAGGTGTCTTTCCCTCCTTCGTTTTACTTTGTCACGAACGTCCTCCAACTGAACGACATGGTCTGCGGCCATGTCGTTCAGGTAGGACGATAGGACAAACGTTCGCAGATCGCGGAGTCTGCGTTGGGGTATTTGTAGGGGTGGGCAATCACTCGGCGTTATTTTTGGAAATCGATATTCGCCCAAAAAGTGGGGTGGGCAATGACTCGGCATATTACGGTATGTGACTGACCCAAAATTCAAAATGTAATTCCCTGCAACCGACAGTAAGAGCCTGAAGGAATTCAACAAGGACGACTTTGCAGTTCAAAGCCCTAGAGTTCAGAAGCATAAAATTTGGAAAAGAAAAAGAAACATTTATAGGAAATTTTTCATTCATGTTATTTCAGGGATTTTCTATAGATATCGTCATGAATTGCAAAGACTTCTTCAAGGACTCAGAAACCATAAAATCTCGCAATTTTAAGAGGAACAAAGAGGGAAATTCCTCTGAAGTAACATTTTAACAAAAATTTCGAAGCGGTTATTTCAGCTGCTCCACATTATACATGTAAAATAAAAAAACATCCGCACCACAGGCACAGGATTATAGGGAGTTCTTATAGATTGTTTTTGCCATCCCGCAACGCTCTCCGCAACCCACTACGATACCCGGAACTCTACAGTCAAGGCTATCGGCGCGCAGGCGCAGTTTAGCGGTTTATGAGAACTCCCTAATAGTGTGTCTTCTATGGGCCCCTTCTTTCCTCCCAATCCTATTAGCTTGGCGCCGCCAGGCAGGCCTTCTCAAACGGAGTTTCTCCAGGGCCTTTCTTTTCAAGCTGTTGCGGTTGTTTCGTCGTGAAATAAAGATATATTTTCATCGAGGCCCGTATCGAGTCACATACACCTTCGACGTTTTTGGCTCAAATTTTGCCACCCTTTCAAGGCTGTTTTAACCTCACAAAAATAAGCGATATCACTCGTCGCTCGTGCCTCCGAGGCATAAGTTACACAACATACTCAAAGGGTCCACGACTGCTTAAAGTATTTTCTTTTTGCTAACCTTTTGTCATAAACAAGCTACAAGCACCAACTTTACGTAGCAGACAAAACAGATTCATTGTTTTGCCTCCATTGTGGGAGGTATCATCAGTAACTACAGAGAAAGTGTACAGCTGTGTCTCAACACAGTTCTATTTATCTTGAATGTCCCCATTGCCAACAAGAAGCATGGCCCTTTCCCCGAATCTTATGTGGATATTAAAAAAAACTAGACCTGTGTCGATAGAGAGACGTATGCTTGCCCCGTAACTATCCATGATGCCTCCCGCATGGGAAGCAAAGCGTTTAACGAATTTGTTTTGTCCATTCCATAAAGTTGGTGTCCTTATTTTAGTTATGTAGTCTGCCGGCTTCTGAACTATTTTTTTGCCTAACCTCATGTTGTCAAGTTTTTCTCGATAAGACGTTACTTTGAGTAAAGTCATAGACTTCCCAAGGATTAGGTAACGACTTTTTCATATCCAAGGATTTTAAAGTTTTATGAAGACACATAGCAGCCTGGTGAACTTAGTGGAAGGGACAGAACTCGGGGCAGAGCTTTGGGGAAGGGGGGGGGGGGGGGGGGGGGGGTGCGCCACCTCGGCTAGGTGGCGCAAGCTACCGCCCGATACAATGAGTCATTCCTCCCAGTACCTGACTGGAAGTCGTCCCGGTCGTTAGACGTCTCCTCGGAGATCTCCAGGCACTCGAGGTCGAAGGGCCTCCCAGCATCCCGGAAGTACTTGTAAATGTCTCGGACTTGGCGGCAACTGGATGCCACCACCATTGCCTGGGCACACGCAAAATGTGAGGGTCCCTCGATAACTGGGTCGAATTCAATGCAACACAACAACACACTCAAGAAGGATAATAAAAATGAAAGCAGGACAAAGCAGAGGTGGTCACTTACAATGGGTCCTTTGCAGTCTCCCTTCATGTTTCTCTGGCAATGTGCCACGACGTGGGGAAGGAACTGCGAGGGGAGGAGAAAGCGTCACGCGTGAGTGGAGCACGCAACTTTACGGCCTTCGATCACGCAATGCCCATCATACAAACAAGAGGGTTGTTGACACTTTTCAAATATAGAGAAGCTTCAACCCTAAAAAAAGCATACCATATTTTCCAGACTATAAGTCGCACCCTTGTATAAGTCGCACATCCGCACATTGAGCCGTTATCGTGGAAAAGTTGCCATACAAGTCGCACCTCTTTGCATGGTTCACGCGATGAGTTTTATTCGCTTACGCGCATAGTTACTGCGAAATCGGAGTTTCGCACAATCGGCTTGATCGCACGTACCATTTGACGCGCAACTTTGACATTTCGACTTGCAAGAAATGGCCATAGCACGGCGCTGTCTGACGGGGCAATCGAGTGTTTTGCATTAAAAGGACGTAAAACGCGCAAAATGAGAAGGTAGTCAGCTTTACTCGAGCGAACACATGCCAAGAGAACAAAAGTTTAACGAGCTATAAACTCGTGAACCAAGCTTTGGAGCACTAGGCCTAGCCTCAGCCAAGACCCGGAGACGCCGCGAGCATTGATGCGCAGGCAGAGATAAACTTTACATACTTCTTTTCTGTACTTCTAAAAGATTGGCTAGGCACAATCCTTCCTTTTACATATAGCAACACAGCTGGAGCATAGCAGAGAAAAACTGCTTATCGAACTGAAACTAAGGAAGATGCGAGAAAATATTCTGCAATGCGTGTATACCAGCCCACTTTCCTTTCAGTGTTACTGGACTGAAGCAAAAGAATACGGAACAATGACTGAATTGGGCAACTTCGATAACATGCTGTAAAGTCTTGCCTATCCACATTGAGTCAATTATGAGAAGTGTAGTCAGTTATGAAAGTCAGTTATGAAAAGTGTAGTCAGTTATGAAAGTCAGTCATGAAAAGTGTAGTCGGTTATGAAAAGTGCAGAAGAGTATGGTGACAGCAGTGCCTCCTTGAGGGGGAAACACCACCTATGGCTACGTAGTTCCGGTGCTCTACAAAAGATGGCGCACGGCGCAGAAAATAAATGGTGTCACACCGTGAATTAAAAAAAAAAAAAAGCATATAAGTCGCCAGAAAGACTAAAGTTCCCTCTATCGATTGCGGCAGTGGTGGCGTACCCAAACTGGCTGGTGAGGTTAGTCTATACTAGCTATTTACAAAAGTAGTTTATTCCAATAACAATTACAGTAGAACCTCTTACTAGGGAAGACTGATATGGCAAACATGTAAGTAGTATATAGTGAAGCAAAAATTAAGAATGTTTAAACTAGTGGTACAGACATACAATGTATTTATACCATGTTCACTCGAGTAATAGACGCACTGTTTATGAAGAGAGCTCATTTGTCCTTTCGCGCTACGCACGCGAAAGCCAATTGTCGCAATCGGCAGCGGAAGGCCAGCGGCTCGCAGGACGGAGATAACTAAGCCACGTGAAAATGTCGTCAATGCATATCACATTTTTGCAGAGAATTGTTATTTTGACCTTGCCATTCGCTACGTTTTTTGTTTTTTTTTTGAAAATGAAATGACTGGCTGTAAATGTGCTCCGCAGGAAAGTAGATGCATAGGCTGTATTCACAAACAGTTTGTCCGTTATGTGAACAAACTGCTTTTACTATAGAGGTCTACTGTACAAATGCACAGAAAGTATTCTGTGACTATTCTGCATTAGTACCCCTCTATAGATTATAGAAAGGTGATGCTATGCATTATCAGTTGTGCTACCTACCTGAGTGGCATTGCTTTGACAGAATTCTTTTGCAAAGAAACATATTTATTCGTTTTTTTGCCCCACTGTTTGAGACACTCATTTTTTGTGAGTCCTATTTTGTGTTTTTGCTTCACCTAAGTTATTACGAAGCGGCACCTGGGAGCACCCGACTGCTTTGATACTACGCTAAATGATGGCCAGATCAAGAAAGCATAATTTTTAAAGGGACCATGAAACCATTTCCTCACTTTCGTCAATACCGCATAGAATGAATCTTTCACTTTCATAACTTACACAACACAGATTAGTTTTTTCTCCACGCGATGGCAGTCGTAGCAGAAATTAGGAAAAACAAGCAGCAGTCGCCACTTAAAATTGCGGCCAGAACAAGCGGTTTCATGATCTCGTGCCGATAGTACACCGCCAATGTTCGTTGCAAAGCATGGAGCACGTACTAAGCTCCAGACATTGTTAGGGTTTGGCTATTCTTGTCGCTGCTGCGACTGAACATGAGCCATTACCCAAATGTTTGCCGAGGCACTGATAGTAATCGAGGCAAAGTTCAGTGCTCCCGCAATGCCCCATCCACGATTCGCGCTTAGTCGTCGTCACCATAGGGCAATGCCCACGACCATGTGAACACTGCAATCCCCGCAACAGTGTTGTCCAACATTGCGGAGGAGAGACCGAAAGAACATGAGGAGCATGATTTGGAATTGCTCCCAACTTAAAATGAGAGATTCGAATGGCACTCAAAATATGCATTAAAAAAATAAATAGGGTAAGGGTGCGGGCGAGCTGATGAATATTAACCATGTTGAATTAACCCAAGACTGGGTAGAGAAGAAACATCAAAATGCAGGAGCAGAGAATAGACGGAACGACATTTCAAATTCGGCGAACTCGTTGATTTAGTCCGCCTCTTTATATAGTCTCAAACTCAAGGTCATCACCACCAACCCAGAAGGACAAAGCTTATGCAGTTCAGGCGCCAACCTGTAAGGTTGTCCCGAATCTTACATTGGGCGCGTTAAGTCCGCGCTCCTTTACTCTAACTCCAACGCTCCGAGCGTCATATTCCGAGCACAGCAACTAAACGAAGAATAGCGTAAGGGAGCGTGACACACCGAAACTATCGACGAGCCGCATGAGTCACCTCCGACTGCACGGTTATGACGAACCCAACATCTTGTGGACACGGGTGGCAGAAGCCGAAATTGTTTTGAAGATAAATTAATTAGGGCCTCTGTGGAACGGCAGAGTGTAAAGGAAAAAAAGACGGTGGTGTTAGGAAGTCTCTACAAATGTTTTAACATTCCAGAAAGATGTGAAGATCCGCCTCAAGCACATAGGCGGAAAGTTACCTTGACCAATCTATTTGTTGACCATGCACGCGGTTTAGAATTAAATGGAAAACAACATTCTTGAACCCGCTTGTTGACGCATGAAGCTGTCATACTTGTCAGATGATCCGTGGAGTCTTGCAGCGCGAGATGGAACTCGTCGATGTACTACGCAGACACCGGCACACCGTTGTTCAATAGATAGCACGTCAATTCGTTTTCGGGCAAGATACATGAACAAACCTTTTCTGCAGCGCTAATTGATGTCTCAGCTTTCCAATCAAAGTATTTTTATTTGCTGGGCTAAGCCATAGCCTCCTATATACCGACAAAACCTGGCAGATCGCCACAAGAAGCGGCTGCCAAAATGGAAAAGGTGGAACGGCAGACAACAGATGAGAGGAGAGCCACGTGATTGGCGCCCTGATGCAGCGAGACACAGAAACACACTTCTCCCGAGCGAACAAGTGTGTTTCGGAACGGCCGGCGCAGTTTTCAAACACATGGGGCTCTATGGCACCAGAAACCGAAAACGGGCAAAAATGGGCTCCATTTTCCCATTGAAATTTTCAGAAAATTACTTATAACTTTTGATTAAGTTATCGGATCAGACTGAAACTTTGGCATCTGGTTGTGACCTCTAGCGCTACCTTTGGGCGGAGAATGAGCGTTCGGCGATGCCTAGTTTATTTTTGCGGTAAAAAAGACCGTGTAAATTTTCTTTTGCGACACCCTGTAGACGCAAAAACCTGGCCCCCTCGAACCCGGGTGTCACGGGAACCGATATCGCGTGCAAAAATCGCAGGCCAAAAAAAAAAAAAAAAAAGCGGGAACGAATTGGGAATTTGCATGTCATGGGACCCTGCATAGTATGGATGCTGCAGATTCACGTGTCACGGTGCGATAACCACGAGGGAACCCGCGGCGAGCATGCTTGACGCGTACTGATACCGCAAATCACTCAATAGATAAAATTTTAAAAAATAAAAAACGGGATGTGTGATTTTTGGGGGGCGGGCGCTTGTAAGAGACTTTACGGCAATTTAATGCCCGTGTGTGTCATATTTCAAATACACTCAATCTTGCTCAGTGCCACTGTGCAAAAAAAAAAAAAAAGATTAAGTGAATGACAAAACAATGCATCGAAGCATCGTCTCGTCGTTTGCCAGAGTTCTGATAAGTAGTACTCTGACAAAGGACCTGTGGACCTGTGTATGTGCCATTTTCGGAGATCGGGATCGGGCTGCTTACACGCCGTTGACACAACCACATCGGTATAGTGCTTTCATAGCAATATGGGCCTATAAAACGTTACCGCGTACTGTGCACTACTAGAGCTTTTGAAGCATGCCCGCGGTCACGGTATCACTCGGGAGAGCACTTAAAACCATGCTTCAAAGACTCCGGTAGTGAGCGGTACGCGGCAATGGTTTGCTAAAAGAACCTATTTTTTTCAGAATTACCTAAACAAACACAACACGGTAAACCTCACTATGGCCAATAAAAAAGAAATCTCTAATAAATATAGCTTTAAAAAAAAAAAAAATTGTTTGGCTAGTTTTGGCGCAGCATGTGTGCTTGGAAGCAGGATGGTGCAGCAAAAGTGGATTGGCGCACAATGGCGCAATTGGCGCAGTGCTTCCACCCCTGCGAGCATAGCACCGCCGAAGAGCTCGCTGTAAGTAGCTCAAGCGGGAGCTTCCAGCCGACTTACCGAAAGGACGCGCTCGGACATGGAGGCGTCACCGAGAGAGACGTGGTCCCGCCCGCTCAGCAGAGAGGGCAGCCCGTAGGAGGCAAAGGGTCCCAGCTGACTGCCGAAGATGTCCTTCAACTTGCTCACCAGCTCGTCTGGGGAAACGGCGAACGGGGAGGGGCAGATGAAGCCGGCCATCCGGCAACTCCACAGAGTTCAAACTTCCCGAGCATCGGCGCGCGACCGAGTTCTCTCGGAAACGTTATCCACGAGGAGCCGATAACGACGACGAGAGGGCGTGAACCGGAGCGAATAGAAACTGTCTGGGGTTTCTGTCTGCAACTTCTTCCTCGATCGTGCGCGACGACGACACTTTACTCGAAATGTGTGAGACACGTCCTGGGCACATCTCACACATTTCGACGACACACACAACACCTTACACAAAACAAAGACGTGTCCAGGGCAGTGCGTGACGTGCCGCCCAGGGCATGTCTTCGTTTATGAAACACAGAATCCACGAAACACAACTTCAAGGGCAACTGAAAAGAAAAAAAAACGTTTTTTTAAACAGTCTGGTTGGGACGTACGCGTTAAAGAATTAGCTTTACGCAAAAATATGTTTTTTAAAGCAATAGTGACGGCGCAAGATTTATTTTAAATTCTGCGCACAAAGTCCATGATGTCACGGAATGGTCATACACTCTTTCCACCTCAACAAGATGGTCAAGCCAATCCACCTCTCCTCCAGGCGTCCGAAATGCCGAGAGAAAACAAGTGGAAAGGAGATGACTACCGACTAAATCGCGTTTCGTGCCGTCAATACTGCTCTAAAATCTTTCTTTCTTTTTTTTTTCGTAAATTGTTATTTCTTGACATGCGTCTCCGAGCCAGACTGTTCAAGAGGACATATCTTTTCTTCTTTTCAGTAGCTCTCGAACAACAAAACATGTGGTGGCAAAAAGAAAAAAAATTTTTTAACACACAGGCTTTTGCATGAGCTAATGATCCACACCGACTTTCATCTGCTTTCGTTCTACATCTTCCTGTGCGTGGAGGCAGCGTTTTCCAGATCCCGGGAAGGGAGCTACGCCTTGAAATTTCACGAGCTCAAATGCATCACTAACGCATCACAAACGCATCACTCTGCCGAAAGTTTGAAGTGGCTACATGGAGGCACGATTTATTGGACCAAAGAAATTTTAGAGCAAACTCGCGTAGTGAAAACACCCTGTACATGACGTCCTTTTTCTGCTATGGGACTGACACGAAGACTCCGCAGAGGAAGCATACGAGGCATGAAAACATGATTGCACCCAAGTTCATTCAATGACAACCGAGTTAATCTTTTTTTTTTTTTTTTTTTAATACACTTGTTTGCGCTCTTCCCTTCGAAGGCCATACTAGACTTTTTGGCACGGACACGACCTCGAAAAAACTCAAGGCGTGGAGATCCGGCGAACTTTGCTTGATGCTTTGCACCCACCTGGGAGCCCGGTCTCCTCCAGCTTGAGGACAGGCCTGGGGACGTCTGAGCCCTCCAGCTTCAGCTTGCCCAGTATCTCCTCAATCTCCTCCTGGAGAAAAAACAACAACCGGCGTACCTTGAGCAAAAAAGCTAGCATCTAGCGGTACAAAATTAGCTAAAAGAGAGCACAGAGGCAGGTAGAGCAACACCTCTCCAGACTTTGGAAGACAAGAGTCAATCTGCGCTCACCAGCCAAAAAAAAAAAAAAAAAACCAATGCACGCGTCACATTTTTTTAACAGGGTGTCTAGCAAATTATTATTTTGAAATTCCCTGACGTTTCCAGGTTTTCCCTGACAATTTCAGGTGCAATTCCCTGACCACTGTAGAGACGGTTAAATATAAAAGACCATTACGACACAAGGCATTGAGCACTGTGAGGATCATTTTGCACGGGCTTAATCCAACTTGCATATCACGAAATATTCGGGTTCGTCCAGTTCGAATCAAACAAGCCCTTTCTTGCCGCCGACATTGTCAGTGAAGAGGCCACTTCCGGGAACACGATGAAAACACGCCGCTCAACCACACACGTCAATAACCGAATGGCAGCATGGCCGCCAGATCCACACTTTCGGACACTTTAGGCTTGGATTAGATTGGGGTCTGCGGCTTTTCCATTTGTTACTAAATCTAGTAGCTCTAACTGGATCTAGCCTAGTGTCCCACACTCAATCCAATCCCATCCGAAGCTTGGACTGGATTTGTCGGCTGTTCCCTTTGCATCGAGTAGCACACTCTACATTGGGTGAGCAGAGCCCGCACTCTGCTCTAAGCAGAATTTATTGCCCATCTTTCTGCCCCTAAGTCCTCAAGTCTTTGCTCAGGGCACTCGATGGCGTTTCTAGCTCATTTTCCCTGATTAAGCTCGCTTCTTGACAATATCCCTGGCAATTCCCTGATTTTTTTCGGTAACTAAAATTTCCCCGACAATACCCGGGCTAGACACCCTGTTTAAGGTGCTAAAGGCGGGTTCGAGCAACTGCGCCGTGCGGTATATATTAAAGAAAATTATGGCTCACGAAAAAGGAACTCTGAGGCAACTATGCTGCTGCAGTCTGGCTAACGCAGCTACACGTTTCCTAATGTTTTATGGCAGCATCCGGTGGACTAAAGATGAAGGATGAAGGGTACCGAGTATGCGGCCCAATTTAAAGGAGCTGTGCAATGACTTTAACGTTGAAAAAATTGGCATCTTCTACTTTTGACATTGTTCACCTTGTCACAAAGGACAGAAAACACACCTCCTTCCTTCGAAATGTAGGGATTCCGCCGCATAATCGCGAGGCAAAAATTAGAATATTCCCCGGCCTGCAGCCGCAAGCGGCGGCCATGAGAAACACGTGGCGTGACGTCAATGGGGGTCTTGTAGAAAGATAGAAAGTTGTGCGAATACCTGCTCGATAAAAGGTAACTTTTCTATAAATCTTGTCGCTCCAACATAAATATAAATGCGTCAGAAACCTGGTATCATTGACAAAACTTTTATTATACAGAGTTTTAGTGGCGCCATCTATCCTAGGTCCACAAAACAGTCAGCTCTATCTGCTACCGCGAACAGCCGCCAGAAGCCGGAGGGGGAGGGGGACATAGCTGGGCGGGTATGGCCGGACCCGGATCCTCCTTTCACCATATTGTTCACGCTGCGCCCGCCAGCACATGGTCGCGAGCGGATAAGTTCCCGCTGCTCACCGATGGCTCTAGAGAGAGAGCGTCACCAGGACACCGCGGAAACCCCATTGACGTCACAGCGTACGTGACTCGGAAGATGGTGAAGGAGTTGAGAGGTACCGAAAGCCTCAATCTTTGTCCATTTTTAAAATAAAAACTAGGACATGCAGGCAAAAGCGGTTTTTTGTGCTTTACTTCAGAAAGGTCGAGACACCAATTCCCAAATTATTTAAGCAAAGGACTAGAGCTGTTGCACAGCTCCTTTAAACTCAAGGGCGACCCTGGGTGGGGACGACGGTAAACTTTCTCTCTACGTTGCTTAGAAACATGATGCGAATTATAAGGATTCAAAATCTTGTCCTTGTAATTATTAATCTACATTTTAGCAAAATAACCCCTTTAAAATAAAAATAATAAAAATAATGTGCCAGCAGTTTTATTACATTGGTAGAATTGACCTACAGCAGAGACAAGAGTAGCCATATTACTATCAAACCTCACATCTCATTGTATAACCGTCCATACGACACAATTTATATTAAAGTCAAATTTGCATCGAACACTAGGGTTAAGGGAGTGTATGAACCCCCGAAAAGGGACACTGGCCCCACTCGGAAGCGTAGAAACGGGAAAAGGCGACAGATCAAAGATTCGGCCAATCTCGGCAGACCGGTGCCGAACCCAATGCAGAGTGCAACCACATTCCAGTCGTCATCAGAACTGTTTGCACCCTACATGGCGAGTTTTCTACAAAGAGAAAAGGTTGTCCCTTTCTCCTCCTGCCATGGCAGAGGCAGCGGCAACACAAAATGTGAGGCGGCATCGAGCTAGACGCAATCGCGGCGCCGCCGCTTCTGGCGACCGTGTAACAAGTTCCGTGTTAAGAAAAATGCGGGGATGGAAGCGGCATTTGGAGTTTTCTAGCGGGTCCCGATGCAGGCAAAATACCGGTTTAAAGCGACCACCGATGCTTTTGGAGCAGATGCCAACACCTGTTAGCAAGGGGCACTCAAAAATGATATGCTGTAAACGGCTTAATTTTCGGGAGGACCTAATTTTCGCGGATCGCCTACGATTCGCGAAAAGTAGGTCTTGTGAACTATTCTGGTAAAATATAAACACACTAGAATCTACTGAGATCCCACCGCGTCGTGAAATTTAGAACCCACGAATTATTTCAAAACGTCAGCTTTGACCTAAACCGCGAAATATTGAGCCCGCGAAAAATAAGTCGTTTACAGTAGTGACTGCATCGCTAAATATCATCTATGATAATGATCGAGGGTTTCTTTTTGATACTGGACCAAGTTGCTTACTACCTTTTGTAATAAAAATATAGGGTGCAAAAGGAACACAGAGCCTTCTTTTTAGAAATAAAAGTCTGGTCAAAGTAGGTTTTATTTACAATGGGAACTCAAAGAATGGTTGAAAAATGAATCCCAGCACAACGCTTCAGTTTGGATAGACCCTCTCTTCCTTCCCACTTTTACAATACATAGTTTATGTAGCCTGCAAAAATAATTTCTGTAAAATGGTGCAAAGCCAGCATATCCCCAAAGTATGCCTTTCAAAAAAAAATCCCCCCCCCCAACCAGACTCTAATATTATTATAAACTGCAAAAACAGTCACCCACAAATACTACGGAAACTTACACCCGTGCTTTAAAAGTGACAATGCTCTCTAGCAGCGTCATACCAGAGTGAGGTAAGTTTGCTGCTGTTTTGATCGACAGCTGCACGGGAATTAGCCTCACAACTGTACTTATTCAGAAATAGAACCACAATATTTTTTTTCACTTCTCGCGACAGCTTCTTAAAATTAGCGATCAACTTTAAAATCAAGATCAACTTCAAAATGAAAATTAGAGATCAAGACCAAAGAAGGTAAACCTGAAACAGTTCAGAGCATAATATCGGAGCCTCTCATATTAACCCAGGCGCTCACCCATGTCAGCCGCTGCTCGTTGGCCTTGGGTACAAAGCGGTTAAAGGAGCTGTGCAACGATATTCAATTGAAATGTTTTTCACTTGACACGAGCTTACTGGCACACCTGGGACTCAAGGATACTCGCACGCAACGCCACTGGCCAAGAAACTCCTTTGTTGCGGTGTAATTTCAAGGACAAAAGCGATCATTTTCATTCAATCTCTCCTTCGCAAAATTTGGTGACGTACCGTGGGGATCGCAGTACACCCAAGTGACGATGTTTGAATGCGGTTCATAGGTTGGTCCCGAGCATTGCGTGGGCACTCGACTTGGGCTCGTGATAATCGCTACCTCGGGTAGTGACCCGTGTCCAATCGCTGCAACGACGACAACAGCCGAGCCATAACAATGTCTGGAACTCAGCTCGTGTCCTGCGCTTTGCCAACCCCAGCGCGTGGCTATGATCAACACTGGCGGCATATAATCGGCTTCAGATCACGTGGCCGCTTGTACTAGCTGCGAGTTGAGGGGGTGAACGCTGCTCGTTTGTCTTTAATTTTTTTCTGGGACTTCTATTGCGTGGGGTGAAAAACGAACGCGTGTTTCATAAGTCATTAACGTTAGGGATCCGTTTTAAGCGGTATTTGCGCAAAGTACAAAAATTGTTGCATCGCTCCTTCAAGCTCGACGCACACACTGGTGAGAGCAGGCGCGGAGGCATGCGGCAGGCATGATAATCAAGTGGTCTAACCAGGAATTTAAGACCATGGTTCTATCTTATCATAGTACCTAGTTGCCATCCTACTATGTTTTCTCGCACCTTCTAGCTCCCGACATCACCGACACCATCTGGAAATTTAGACAATGTTGGCGATCGACCCGCCAGCACATCAACCGGTCACTGCGGTTAGCGAGCAATCTCTAAAGCTCGTTTCACCTTAATTCACAACGTCAAAGCACGACACCGTGACATTCATCAGTCTTCCTGTGCGTGATATGGGGATTCCTCTGGCCTCCCTTCCCCAATGGCTGTGATAATGGCCGCAGGTCGGAATGTTTGGCCTCCTTCGCCACGAGGTCTAACCTGTTCGTGAAGCGGAGGGTCCCCTGTCCTGGAGGGCCCTCCTCTCACTCTCTCGCGAGAGGACCTCTTTCCATTCCCCCCGCTTGGATGCTGACAGGAAAGGAGGTTTCGCCTTTTGTTTTCCCGCTTTTGGGAGGGAGACTCAACCTTTGTGTTTTTTTCTCCAATTTGCGCTCTTTGTTTTGTTTCGTTTGCTATACCATTGTGCTCAATCTTGGATTCAGAGCCAGCTTTTCAGTCCCTACTAATCTACTTCAGCTTTCTCTATGACAGACCAACTATACACCTTTTTTGTTTAGCCTCGCACCCAGCCACGTTGTCCCCCTATCCAGTATGCGTTCCGAACTAAAAGCAAGAGATTACAACCACGAACAAGTATAAAAGTATGGAAGGGTCATAACAGGAATGACTGACGGTTGCAATTAAAATGTTAGCACATTCTACTGTCGAGGCGAGAAGAAAGCAATGTTTTCACGCATACCGGGAGTTCCAGAATTGAAGATGGCGGCGCCCACGTAGAAAAGGTGAATACAGCTCACTTTCAACTAAAGGCTGTTGCATTTGCCAAAGAGGAAGGTCAATGAGCAATCTGGCGAAAGGTCGAGACCGAAGAAGGATGCGCATACGTCGTTAACACAAGACAGAAAGAAAACAAAAGCATGGCTTTCCGAAGCAAGGAGGCCACGTTTTCTAAAGCAGACGATTTGCTTCTTCAGTACACGGAGAGGCTACACACGAAGACACTCGAGACTGCACAAAGCATGAAGCTCCCAGCCACAGTGTTCAGAGCCAGCAATGGGTGGATTCAGTGTTTCACGACGCAAGAGAACCTGTCTATCTGCCGTCCGACAATGACGTGTCAACGTCCTCCGCGGGAGTGAGAAGAGAAGCTGCCTACCGACCCGAGAACATGACGGTAGAGGCAGAGGGAAGGCAAGCGCCCTGTTCACCTAAAGCCGCAGTCACACTGCCAGAACGCCACCCAAAAGAACATCTGCGGACACCGTCCGAGGCACGTTTCTTCCTCGTACGACGGCCCATCACATTGCTCTTACAGCGAACGTCAGCAGGCATGTGCAAAGCACACATGTGTACGAAGCAAACATGATTTAAACATGCTCGACGTGTATCTGCAGATAATTCCGTCATGTCCACAGCGAGCACCGTGCCTTTTGTACGGTGTACGAGCAGGTGTGACGTCTGCTTGACGGGAGCCGGAAGATGGCGATGTGTGTCAATGCTCTGTACCGTAGTAGACGGGCCAAAAACTTCTTCAGCCTCACACTGTTTTTCAAAGGGAAACGTGTACCTGAGGAGCAAGCCCCCGACGGCATAATTGTTTGAGCACGAGAGCAAGGACGGATGTCGGACGAGCTGGTCAAAGACTGGTCAACGCGTGTTTGCAAAAAGTGGCCAGGTCTAGACCTCAGTGTGCCCGGATGGCTCTCGAGAATGGCTGACAAAGAGTGCACGGGAACAGCTCTGCGTGTCAAAAACCAAAACTTGGCCGTCGTGGCCCACATGCTTCGGTCACTGAACGTGCTGGCGAAGTGACCCTTCGAGTCCGAATTTCGCTGCGCCGTGAGGAGGGTGAAAGACGTACATTGGTTGGATCAAGGGGTCACATCTTGTAGCTGCTAAGTGTGAGCGGATTCTTGAAGCGTGAATAGCGGTATTCTTTAAGATTGTAGAGAAGAGCTTCGAGGTCAAAGGCATCTCTAACAGGCTGGATGGTTCAGTGGATGACCCAGCCTGGGGCAGGGTTACCATACCAACTCTGTGAGGACAGAGCGGAAAAGTGATGGTGATGCCAAGAGATGCTCTCTTTTTGTCTTTCCTGCGAACATGTGTGGGTACTACCATTGAATAAAGGAGAGTAGATAAACTTTTACCCAGAACTATTTTGACCAAAAAAACTAATTTCTGTTTTTTGTGTTGTTTTTTTTTGTTTCTTTTGTGTGTAAAGGCAGTTTTCCAGTTTTTAGCCCAAAACTTTAAAAAGAAAAAATATATGCTGCAGACATTACACACATATACATGATCAGAAAGACTTCCCATAGCAAGCACATCCTACCTCTCTCACTGAACGAAGCGGAACAAGCCGAGGTCCATAACACGACTGCAGCAAATCCAAGGACCTACAAATCGATCGCCCACAGCAAAACTGCCACGCTGGGGCAGCTGGCACCTCGCGCCACGCAACGACAATTGTTTAACTACTCTGTCACTGCATCCGTCGTCTTTAAAGAGTGTTGCAAGTTGGCTGGCAGAATCGTAGGGCCGTCAGACACCAGAGTCTGCCTGTTGTGCCTGTTTCACAAAATCTACTACCACAATCATACTTTGCGTGACAAGTTATTTGCATCTCCTTTTTACATATCACCACGTCTCAATCACCGACACAAGATAGGTGTACCTTCATGTAACACTACTACTTTTTACCATTCATTCATACCCCGAACCACAGTGTTGTGGAACCACCTTACAGCATCTGTGGTATCAATATCTGACAGCGTTGCTTTCAAAAATTGCCTTAACAATGTCCACATTTCAGCGTTTCACTAATATGTACATATTGTTTTGCATTCATAGGTTGTTATTTAATGTATGTTGTTGAATTCTACTGATGTAAACCACTCCCCTCTGTAATGCCTTCGGGCCCTGAGGGAACTTTTAAATAAATAAATAAATAAATAAATAAAAAGGGCTATTGGGGGGGAAAGAAGGGGGGGATCAAACAGTTGCTTTCCTAGTGGCTTAGCTGAGAACTGAACCCGTGGGGACATCAATAACATCATTACTTTGTTCACATTTCTCACACAGCGCCTGGCTAACGTAGCCAAACGCTGAACACGCTGAACACAAGTCCCAGCCGAGCGCCGATGCAGTACTTGTGCTTGATCTGTGCTCCGCACTCAATCAAGAAAGGCCTTGCGATGGGTGAGCACAGAGCTCGGCGCAAAACAAGCTGGAAAAAAGGGCCGCCTATAGTTCGAGCTCCTTGCCAATAGCGGCAGGCAAATCCCAGAGACATTGACGCATACTTGCAGTTTCACTTCCACCTTGCACTGTTTCCTCCCTTCTTATTAGCCTGAATTTCCATTGAGCACCCCTAATTTACTGATTTTGCACCCGTTGTGAAACATTCCGTCCCCGCAACAGTTCAACGAAAGACGCTTCTGACGTCTTCCCGCGAGAAAAGCGAAAAGGGAAAGCCTTGCAGCCTCCCCAAAGAAGAGATCTCGCAGCGAAGTCTTTCAAAATGCCTCATAAATGTAACGCCTAGATGTAATAGACACAGGTTGCTCCAGAACGAAACAAAGAGCTTCTAGTCAGCTGGTACGGTCGTCGGATGGCTCAGTCGACTGCACCTAAAGTCATACAGAAATCGACGCCATATAACAGCAACAAGACATACCCGAGGACGCGTTGCGGCAAAGCCAACATAAGCAAACGGCGCATAAAAAGACAGAAAGGCGGGATCCACTTACGTCAGTTCTGGCCGCCGTGTCGGCGTGCTCGCTGTACGTGAACTTCACGACGACCTGAGGCTCCTTGGACCGCTGAGGTCCCTCGTCCTCCAGAAGCGTGTCCTCGGTGGTCGCATCGTCGGCGCCGAGGGCCTCGTTCGCCGAACAGGAGCCTTCGTCGATGGACTCTTCCATCGGCAGGTCGGTTCTGTCCGCCTCGTCTGCCATGCTGGCCTAGAAAGCGCGAGAAAAGCGACGTGAAAACGGAGCGATGTCCAATCCGCCGTCCTCGCCGGAAAACAGGCATGCCGAACCGGCGCCGAGATTGCCCTCCCGCCTTTGCCGCGCTCGTAGCTTCGCGAAACAAACGCGTCCTAATAAACAAATTTGACTCTAAACGACTCTTGGGACCTTAAGCGCCGACGGGGAGGTCGTTCTTGAAGCGATCAACGCGTTTTTAGGGTAAAATATTGTTTTTTTGAGAGGGGTTGACTTGGTAACAACGGCACCGCACGATGCGCCGACTGCGGTGCGCGAGGACGCGTTTGGAAGGGCGCTTGGAGGTTGTGGCGGATTCCTTACCTTCCCTGGCGGTCCTATGTGCTCCGATCGAGCGTTTCCGACGTCGTCCTCTTAATTTTTGGAGGGGTACGCAATCGACGGAGGTTTTCAAAAACGATCGAGACCCAACACAGCAGAGTTGCGTCTTCACTAACCGCTAAGCCGACGCACGCACCGCCGAGGTATCGTATTTGAGCTAGCCTTCTTTGTAAAACAAAATATTTATTTTACCAACATTTTTTCATCTTTGTTATTGCTTAAAATTATTTGATATTTTTTAACATCACAATTACAGCGCGCTTCAAACGAATAAACTAACGTTTTGACGTTTTGTTCCCAGCAGGACGCTACAATCCAAAACAAAAACCGCATGTCGCCCTGCGCCGCCGCGATATCGATTTTCACCGAACGGCCGCAAACAGGCGAGACAACATTTCGCCCGAGAAAATAGTTCTGCAGTCGCGGCCGAATCTTGCTGACAATTCGCGTCTTGCGGTCCTAATCCACGTCGCAAATTGTTTATCAGACACCGCTGACGACTCGTTCGATTCATTCGCTAGCGTGAGCTTCGACAAAGTCGGAGCGCACCAGCGAACGCTTCATCCTACGTGTCGGCTCGTCCAAGTAGAGGTAGTTTCGTGTAGACCGTTTCGGCGTCAATTGACTGACAAAAATCGCCCGTCTCACACATCAGAATGGCCTTCAGGGGACCCAGACCGTGAGTGAACCTTTTCCGATTCATACCGGCGTCTGTGGGCTTATCAGCGGCCCACGGGCCTTCGATTAAAGAGCCAAGCCTATGCGGCTTAAGCCACTGTAGCCATTGCAGCCTTTGCGCTTGTGGGCCTAGGAAGGCGTAACTTTGGGACGCTGTAGCGCTAGCCGCCGCTACGTTCGTTACTTCATCGGAGACAAAGAAAACGGGGGTTCGTAGCATGTTACTAGTAAGCGGGGTTTGAGATACCCTGAACGTTGGAAAGGAAATGCTGACCCCGCGATCGCATTGACGGGGATGATCCGCAGTGTAGTCCGGAGTGGAGGGGCCATTGAATGGCGTTCCATTTTGGGATATTCGATTATTATCCGCGAGGGAGCAAGCAGTGAATGCACGCATCGTTGCAGAACCTCCGCTACGAATTGATTGTTCTGCTTTTGCGTGTTCCTCGACGCACGGCCGCGACCCTCCTTTTGTGTCCGTGTGTTGGAGTTGAAGGTGTGCCAAAAGTAATGTCAGCTGTTCCCTTGCTTGGAAACCAAAACGAACCTGTGGCGGAAAAAGAATGTGTGTGCTCTCCGCGGAACATCTTTTGCCGGCTACGAGTTCCCAGAAAGGAAAAAAAAAAATACATGAAAACGAAAAACTGGCCGACATTGTTTACGACTGGCGTTCGTTTCCGCAGTCCCGGCGAACATCTTTCTCCTTTTCCTGGCTCTTTTTTTATTTATTTATTTTTTATTCACGTTTGCCGAGCTCTTGAAGAAGCAGTCGCTTCTGACAGCTGGACATTTAAACCGGAATAACTGGTTTTTGCCTTTCCCTCCCTGCAATTTCGATTTGATGGCTAATTAGGCACGTTGGTTGCCTTTGTTCCGAAGCCGGCAGAATCAGTATTATGCAAGCATAAAAAAATAATAATAATAATAATAATAGTTATAATAAATAAAGATTGCTCCGGTTTTTTAATATACTCTGATCCTAAAAACACCGAAATGCCGTCAAATAATATCGTCTCTCCTTTTTTTGTATGCATTTTTAGTTTTTAGTAGCTGTCTGTTTTGGCCTTGTCTCGATTCTTTCTGAATAGTGCTGCCGGTTTGTGACACATTTAACCATATCACCTCTGTGTTCTTTTTTTCTCTCTCTTTGTTGGTTACTTGTGCTAAGTTTCTTTAGGTGTTTTTTTTTTTTTTTATAGAAAATTTTGTTTTTGCTATACTGCGTCAAACGCTGCTTCTGGTTGTGGCTAGGGTTAATGTCCGTTAAACCTTTTATAAAGGGTTAGTGTTTGCTTTATGAAAGGTTTATTTTTATTATCGATTTGGCAAATGCCAGTTTCGGTAGCTACGGCCTTGCCTGGAAAAGCACAGCTGAAAATGTATCAAGGTGGGCAAGGTTATGACTTGTTTGCGAGTGTAGACTCGTGTTATTCTTTTTGTGAATCAGTTTGTCTGTTCGCTTTGTGCAAACTCTAGTAAAGCTTCAGGGCACAGGCTAGCTCGTGCTTTGCCGTCGTACGTCAGATGCATCCATAAGAAATGGATAATGCATATTTCGAGCTAATCTGAACAGATCCAAGAGTATATGGGTGACTGACTGTTACTTGAACACGTTGGTGATTCTCCGAATTGACGCACTAACTGCAGCTAATTCTTGCTTCTTCTCTAACTTAGAGCTGGTCCTCTATGCGCCGAGCACTGGTGCTGCTATCGAACCATTTGAACCGTGTTGGGTTGTTTTAAGAATGAGCAATAATCAACAATCTTGCTGGCATGGACGTATCTGGAGGGCATAGGCGGCTGCCTTGGTCACGACTGCATTCGTAACTATAGAACTTCATTTTTAAATCCTCCGTAGTTAGGCGGAGCAAGGCAGGATCGCCAGGTCCCGCTTATTCCGATAGCAGATGGTCGAGGCCGGAACAAATGTCTCGTGAGGCCGGAAAGAATTCTCAGTTCATCCATTGGCGGTTGCCGTTTTGCAGAAGGGCGGAAACGGAGAAGGCGCATTTGTTGCCATGGGCCTACAACGGAGATTCGTGGGTGCAAGAAGTGCCCTTAAAAGGCTATGGAAAGGAGGTATCCCGCGTTGGTGTCCTCAAAGCTCTGCGAGCTGCACAAGATGTTTTGCATGCCGCCTCCTGAAAGGAAGGACCACTTAGGAAGGGGGGAATGAACTGGAACCATCTTTTGCGTAACCCTGGAACATTTCTGATCTTCGAACGACGAGATCGAAGGCTTTGCAGTAGCACTGGCGAGTTCAAGTCTATCCACTCGCCATGTTAAATGGTTGCCCGTAACTAGGATTCTGTGTTTGCGGATAAATACGAAAAACTCTGTCAAAAGCGTGCCGGTAAAATTTTTGTCGGTTCAGATTTGTTCGATAAACTCCAAATTTCAGAACCGCGAAGTATTCTACAAATATGTTTGTTTAGAGCACAGGATCGTTGGTTCTGAGGTTTCGTTCGGATGTCGGATCATTGAATGGGGTGCCGCTCATCTCGTCCAGGTTCGGTCAGGACAGGAGGTCATTCTACTTCTGGGTCATGACAAAAACCACTGTTCGGGTCTGGCGGTTTCCAATTCGAACCATACAATTTTTACTTCTTGGGGGAAAGGGGGGATTTGTGTTTTTATCATGGTGCTTTAAAACCTTAGATTTTCATAAAAGTGGGGGGGAAGCGTGGCTAAAATTTTTATATTTAAACCAAGAGAACAAAAAAATAGCTCCTTATCTTCTTTTTTCTGTCAACCAAACTTTGTTAGAACTTCACTCAGCCCATGTGCTGTACTCAAAACTTGTTTTTCTTCTTGAGGTGATAGTGAGTGTAAGGTCTTGCGTAACTAGGAGTGTGTGGAGTTGTGGAAATTCAACGGATTTTTTTCTGAGGTTGGTTCGTTTTTGCCGGGAATCTTGCACATCTTTTATTTTTCACATTCTTGAGGATCATCTTGCATTTCCCTGAATTTGGATTTTTCCATAGTGGCTTCTCGACCAGTTCTCTGAGGTTGTTGCCTCTTTCCCTTTGTGCATTTTTTAAGACTTGAAAAACTTTATATAATCTGCAATAAATAGAAGCATAAAAATAGTTTCATTTCATTTCATTTATTATGTCTCTCAGGGCCCAAAGGCATTACAGAGAGGAGTGTTGCGCAGTAAATGGAACAAAACAAATAACAGTACAAAGGAAAAAAATGCACAATAACTACTAAACATCATTTAACAGGTTAATAATGGAAAAGTACATAAAATAAAATGAGTATCAATGAAAAGGCAAAAAATACTTAAAATTACTACGGAACACCACTTAACAGGTTAGTAATGGCAATCTTAAATTTATCTGAGGCAGTGATTGTGACAATGGCTGCGGGAAGGCGGTTCCAGTCAAGCGGGGTTTGAGGCAAAAGAGAGGCGTTAAATGTAGATGTGCTGCAATGAGGGATCTCAACTTTTAGTTGATGATCGGTGTGTGATATGTAAAATGGTTAAAAAAAAATCGCTTGACGGAGAGTAGGGTTGGAGTGATAAATCTTATGGAACAAGCATAGACGGGATATCTTTCGACGAAGAGAAAGAGTGGGCAAGGATGAGAGGCTTTCATTAAAGTGGTGCTAGCTGTGTGACGATAGTCGGAAAGTATAAAACAAGCGGAGCGGTTTTCAATGGATCCTATGGCAGATGCAAGGATGATACCAGGGTTTCAGATTGAGGTGGCATATTCAAGTTTAGGGCAAATTAAGGTTTTATAAATGAGAAGCTTTAATGAAAGGGGGGCAAGAAAAAAAATTTATTTTGATGTAGCCCAATAGAATAGTGTTTTTCGTGACGTATTCCGCATGAATATTCCAGGACAGATCACTTGAAATGTGAACACCGAGCTATTTATAGGAAAACACAGGAAGGAGGGCAGAGGGTGATGATAGTGCAATTTGTACAAAAGTTCATGCCACCTGGACAAGAAAAACGATAATTCCAGGAGAAGGCGTTTTGATATTTGAGTTTGTCCTTTGTCCCCCTTCTCCAAAAACTATTATCACAAAAAAAAAAGATTTTTTGTGTGTGTGAATGATTTGGTGTGTTGTTTACTGAGAAGAGTTGTACCCATGATGGGCATTGATGGAAGGGTTCTACTCAATTTATCCAGTCAACAGGCAAATCCAAACAAATTTTAAATGGTGGTGTAAATTCTGTACTCATTTGCAGCTCAGTCACCATAGTTAAAAAAGAAGTGACTTCTCATGGAGTGTTGCCATTTTCTCTTTTTGTGTGGTGAATTACAATACTGTATGTGCATTTAAAATTATTTATTTGTGGTTTTAGGGAAATGCATTTCAAAACACTTGTGTGTACATTTATTGCAATAAGAAATCTGAATTTTTTTTCACTGAAGCAGCATTAATGTTAATCAGTGTGTGCCATGCCTAGCTGAAATACTGGTACAACATAAATCGTTCAGTAGCTGTGCACAAGAACAAGCAAATGTACAGCACTACTATAGGGCATAAAGTACCCCCTCTCGTTTTATTGCTTGAGCCTGTGGCGTTCATTGGAGTGAAAAGATTAGAAGAAAACCAAAATTATGTTTATTAGTAACAGGTTTTTCCTCTGAAATAATTGACACTTGCGGCTAGAATGCCATTTTCGGTTTGAAGAATATTAGGCCTAAGTGGACGTTGTCTCATATTTATTTTTAATTCCTTCATCCAGATGATGTCATGTTCTGAAACTTTCTTATCTTATCAACACTGCTAGCATCACATTCACACAGTTTCTCGGCCTTCTTCAATGCATATAGTTTATTTTCTCAATCGGACCCCATAGTCTTGTTTTCCTAGAAAAGCAGTGTTGCTATAACCTGGCATGTTTTTATGTAAAAAAATACTTGTGTATATGACAGGTGAAGAGCACAGGGGAATCTCCTCCCATCATTGAAATGTTGGAGAGCCAGGTCTCCTCATAAAACTGGAAATACTGTTTATGCACCGTCATGCGTAAGCCCATTTTGCTCTGACAGCTAGGTGTCTGCTTTAGAGATTTTACAGGATTTCATTCATTCAATTTTTGTAAGGAGTGCTGATGCTTTCAATGGGGTGCAGTACAGGTAGTGGAACTCTTACCAAGATGGCAGTTATGAAGGAAGTCCTGTCAGTTCCTTTCCACTTGACATATTTTATGCTGCCCCTATTGAAAGGTCTTCTCAGGAACTCTGTCAGCTGTTCATCCGTTCCGCTCCACTGCCTTTACTTGGCTTCACTTTTCTTATGTAACAGGCAGTTCTTTGTACCCAATCTACCATGTCGCTTATTATTTGTGACTTTTTTCTAGATATTTCTTTTTTTTTTTTTTTCATGTTTTATTTGCAACACAAAATTAAAAGGTTCCCTCCCTTGTATGGTTGAGTTATGTGAAAATTATTCTACTATATGCTCCCTTCACAATTTGTATTGTATGTTATTGTAGCGAACGTGCTGTGTTTATCCCAGTTTTACCTCATAAGAATTCAAATTGATCTTAAAGGGAAACTGAAGAGGTTCTTGAAAATAAAAAAAAAAAAAAAATAGGTAAGGGTGAATTCTGGAGTATTTTTATTCCGTGATTCTGAATATCACGTTTGTTTTCCTCGAAGACGTAACGAAACGCGAGACAACACGAAAAGCCTCCCACCTGTCGTTACGCCATACTAGGATCTTTAATAATAATAATTGGGTTGTGTGGATATTTAGACACCGTGTAGTTGGTCAGCCATTTCAAAGTTGCGACAAGTCACTCGCCGTAGATGAGAAATTTAGTCAGTGCAGTACAACCACTAGCATGGGGTCTTTAATGTGCACCACGCAGTAGTGGTGCACGCTCGTGTGGGTGGCGCATGCAATTGCAAGCTTGCCAGGTATATTTCCTCGCACTGACACCACTCATGACGTCCCTTTCTGACCTTATCAAAAATGGGAAGAGTGCGGGTGCTTAGATTTGTTAGGTGCTGAAGATGCGCGAGAGCGGAGATTCCGAAAACTGAATATAATGTAGCACTCGGGGAAGGAGGGGCTTCAGCGGTACTTTGAAAATGATTTTCTGCAGTCTCCGTGCACCCAATTGTAGAATCTCGATATTCATGATCTTGGGGGCCGAATGAAGACTATTTAAGTGTTTTTCCTCACATACACAACCGCTCGAAATTCCCTTTAAAGTTTATTAACCATGTATGATCACAAATTTTATTTTTTTTTATATTTCATGCCACTGGTGCCTAATTCCAGGTGTCTTTTTTTTTTTTTTTTTTACCTTTGTAATCTAATTTAATTGGAACTTCATAACATGGTTAGGTAAGAGTTTGTCTTCTTACTTTGGTTTATAGCCTAATTTTAAATATGGCAATCTAAATTGGAGATTTCAAAAAAAGCTAAAATAATTGTATGAATATTAGTGACTTGTTAGTTTGCATCGCCTTTGCACACTGTCTTGGCAATTTTGTTTTGGTCAGCTTGGTAAAGCTGTCCTTACTCGCTATCGTGTTTAACGAATATGGATGAATAGAAATGCCATCGCATTGAATCAATGGACGTATAAAGAGCGGTGCTCCACACGCGGGGGCTGTGTCATCCTGACTGTGGCCTTGTGCCCCGCTTCCTGTAGTGAGGTGTGTAGTTGGGCGAGTCGGTTCATAACGAAAATAAAAAAAAAAAACGGCACAAAACAAGGACAAAGAAACATATGGAAGACCGAAATACATTGCCCTCGCGCATCGGCTCTAAGGCTGGTAAAAACAAATTTCATAACGTGCGTAAATAATTTTATAACACATTTCTGCTTTTGTTCCCTAACGTTTTGTACTTTATGTTGTTACTCCCCCTCCCCCCCCCCCCCCCTCTCCTCCCTCATGTAAAGTGCTCTTTGAAGAAGAACAATGACTGTCGAGGTTGATCTTGTGTTTCTTGTCTCTGTGTCCCTTTTTGGGTCCCTTTCTGCGCATTTTTGTTCTACTCTTGGTGTCAACTTTCGTATTTCCTCAGTCCCGGGTTGCCTCAAAGTGGTGTTCATTCTCCCCGCCTTCTCCTTGCAGGGACTACGGTCAGCAGGGGGGTGGGCAGCAGTGGCGTGGGGGCGGCGGAGGGGGCCGTCCCCAGCCCGGGGGAGGCATGGGGGGTGGCCGTCCCATGATGGGGGGCTTTGGGGGCAGCTTCATGGGCAACAGCCTCAAGGGCAAGCAGCCCGGGGGGAACCTGCGCAAACCGGACTGGGACCGCATCCAGCTGCAGCCCTTCCAGAAGAACTTCTACCAGGAGCACGTGGACACCGCCAGCCGCTCGGAGGTGAGGGGACATTTTCATGTTTTTGAACACGGTTGTGCGTTTTCGCGTTTGGACCGCTGGACACATTTGACCCCTTCTTGACAAGAAACTAGAAAATTGCTCGAAACCTTTCTTTTTAGGATATTCAAGTTTAAATAAAAGAACAAATGAAATCAAAAAGAAAAAAAAAATGTAAGGTAAACTTGCAAGTTGCAGCTTTTTTCCCTGTGGGCAACACCGAGCAAAAGTTGGAAGGTAAGCTCCTTTGCTAACCTCTACAGATCACTGTGCAATTTTAATCATTCATACGGTAGCCTCAAGTAAAACGGACAACTACCGAAAAATGCCAGTGGCAAGAGAAAAACGCTTACCAGTATTTTTCACCCTAAATTCTGGGGAAACGTTGTTAGGAGTATTTATGAGCCAAACTTTCTTTTTTCTCGTCAACAATTTTTTTTTGCCGATCTTTTCACTCAGTGGCTAGGTGAGCGACCGAAAAAATCCGCCTGGTCCGGGGATTATTTTCATCATTCTTGTCCAGCTCGCTTGCACCTTTGCATTTAATTGCATTCCAATTAAAACGTTGTTGGCAGTATTTATGAGCCAAACTTTCTTTTTTCTCGTCAACAATTTTTTTTTTGCCGATCTTTTCACTCAATGGTGTCAAAGTTTGAACCTTCAAAGCTTTTGCCACTCCACTAGATAAAACTAAAAATGTAGTAAGACCGGGACTTTCGGAGGAAAAAAAAAAGTTTTTACATGGTTTGTTCCTGGAGCCAACAAACTACATGACGAGCGTTGCCTGGAGGCAACGCTCGTTGACGAAGGATTAATATTTGATTCACTCTGGCCAGTTGGTGGATGTGTCTGCCGTGACATTGACAGCTTTGGGCTCTAGCCACCATAGTCACTAAAGGTGGGTTCACACAGCACCATTTTCGTGCGTCGCATATAAGTCGCCCAAAGCTTTTGTGTCTCGGATGTCGCATGGCAGGCAATCTTCTTGGGTTGGTAGCCTTGTTTAACATGAAGTGCAGATGTCCCGGTGACAAAATTAACTGTTGGGCTAGTTGGCTTCACGTCATAAAAATCAAAAAGTGCAAAGGACAAGGAGAAGTGGTAGAACAACGAAGGGTTAGTGGCTTGTGGCGTAGACTTTCGTCACAAAACATAAGGAAACGGGGCTGTGTGAATTAGCCTTTACAGTGCAGGATGAGAACGGCAAAGAGGTCCTTTGCATGTACCCTTTATAACAAGCGGTACCTCGCGCCACCCAGTCTGGAAACCAGAAAACTCAAAGCATGATTCCTCCCCTCGCCCTTCTAAGTCAGGTTCCTTCCCCTCCGCATTTCTGTAGCTATCACCAGGCAGTGTGGGAGGGATATCGCCAGGATGACCTTTGGGGGATCTGGTAAAGCTAAAAAACAGCCCCCCCCCCCCCCCCCCCGTTCCGGCGAGGGAGTCGCCAATTTTCCTCTGGCCGAACGTTGTCGGCTTTACATCAACACCGGACCCACTGGAAGACAGGGTTGAGGCTTTAAGCCAGATTCATGTGGGAGGGGATCTGTCTTGTCCTGTTCCCGGCTGTAATACAGTGTAGACCGCATATAACGTATGTCTCGGGAGTCGCGAAAATCCGCACTATAAGCGGTACCGCGCTATAACCAAAACATCAATTTTTCAGGCCAAAATACATGCCATGAGACAACTTACCTTTGTAAAATAATTTATTTTATGTTAGATGAAAAATAAAGCTTAGTTTGAGGAAAGTCTTTATTTCACCAGACTAGTACAGTTCTGTCTCAAGTGTGTCACACATTTTGAAAGAAATAAGCGACTTTTGCCTGACGCAGCCTTTTAACGGCGTCGCGGGTTGCGGACGGACGTTGCGAGCGTTCAGGATTGCTAACCCTAATCACTTTTCTCTTGTGATGAAAACGCGTGAAAATTCGCATCCTTCATACGGTACGCGCCAGTAATACCTTGAACTTTAACACACGCATGAAATGCGCCAAATAAGAAATCCGGGCGATGTTCGAGGACACAAATGCTTAGAAATCACCACTGTAGTCGAAGTAAACAAACACGACGACAAGGGCGTTTCTGCCGTCTTGAGAGCGCCGCCACGACATCGCCGCACGAGTAGGTAGATCTTCCCTTCTAGTACGTGCTGGGTACTTTAGCGAATAGTCGGACGCCGCGAAGCGGCGTTTTCGGGTGGGCCAACTGAGTTCATATTTTTGTAATGAGTTGCCGCAGACTGTCGCCGCGAAGCGGCGTAAAGCGCAGCGCGACGGATGGATTAACGCGCGCCCCCGTTATTCGCTAAAATGACCATTCGCTCAAATGTCGCCGTTCGCTAAAATGTCATTCGCTCTTGTGATATGAACCCGCGACACACAACGAAAATTCAGTCAAGGATAGCGCTTTTACGCAGAACGATGAGATGCACGCCGTCTACGACAACGATCACAACCGACGGCCCGCGACCGGCATGCAACGCGCAAACGCTTCTCCTCGACCTGCGATTGGTCTGTCGTTGCGGTTGTTTGTTTCTTTGTTTCCAACCACCGTGTTTACAACGCAGCGGAGGGACGCACACGACGCACGCACGTGAACGACTCGTGCGTGCGTCCCTCCGTCGCTATGGCAACTGAAGCCTCTCTCTTCGCTTCTCCCCGCGTTTTCGAGCAACCTCCTTGCCCCGCGGGTGCAGCTTGTGGCTCGCGCCGTCAGCGCCGTTATCTAGTGTCGTACAGGGAAGCGAGCTCGCTGCTCCGGTCTTAGGCGCGGTCGGCGGGCTGTGCCAGAAACCACACTATATCCGGTATTTCCCTTCGCGCGCCTGCGTTTTAAGCGGTATGTAATTACATGGAGTTCTATGGGAGGTGAACCGGTGGTTTAAAAAAACCGCGTTATACCTGGTCCTGCACTATAAGCGGTTACGTTGTAAGTGGTCTATACTGTAGTTAGCTGTGCTTCGTTTGATTCTCTCTAGAATATCTCGTGGTTTGGCCGCTTTATGGTCACCAACATTGGCTTTGTCTGTGTCGTCTGAGAAAGCATCAGGGGGTGTCTGAAGTTTCTATGCGTTTTGTGGTGTCTCGTATTTGCAGGAAGAGATAGAGCAGCACAGGCAGCAGCACGAGATGACCCTTCGTGGCCGGGACGTGCCCCGCCCCATCCTCACCTTTCAGGAAGGCTGCTTTCCAGGTTGGGCACCGCTCTCACTCGCTGGGCACTCGCTACGCTGTCACTAGAGTCCTTTTCTAGCAGTGCGTGAAGGGAGCGTGAAAACCTTTGTTGATTACAGCAGGTTAGTGATAATTCAAACTTTGACATTTTATATTTGTAATTAATTCAAACAAATTTCCAAATTTTTGTTGTCCAACAATGTTTTTGATGCATTTATAAGCCTCTAAGTTTGGACGTCGTTTTCGTGCAATTCATGCTTTTTGTTCTTGCAACCCCCGTTGAATGCACCTCTTGGTGAGCACTGGTGCGTTGCGGAGAAGCAACACCCGCAGAGCTCGCTTCCGCAGTTTTCTGCAACGCACCAGCACTTGCTAAGAAGTGCACTCAATGTATCTAGTAGCTCACAATAGCCACATTTTTTTGCTAGATGAACAGACTTGAGCTTGTATTGGGGTGTCGTGCGCTGTCTATACAGTCCACGATAAACAACATTTATGAGGGACGAATAAGCTTGTCTCGTACGTTTCACCAAAGCTTCACTTGTGCCATACCTGTTTATGATCAGTACACCTGTGTAGAGGAAATAGTATCTGCCTTGTGTGTGTCTACATCCAGATAACAAATCACGATTTTATCTTGTATCGTATTTAGACATAGTTGAGATAATTCAAACTTCCAATATTTCTAATGAAATTCCTGGTTCCCCAGAGTTTGAATTAACGAGAGTCTACTGTACTCCAAATATTGTCTGGACGCGACTCCCGACGTCGGTACAGCGACTGGCAATGCCAACGAAGTCGCAGGGGTGTGGCCTTGAGTTAAGAGCCTGTCACGTCGACGTTGGAACACCTGGTCATCGGCGGCACGGCAGAGCACGGCACCGCCGAGAACAGAGAGGTCAGAACATCCGCGCATCGACAGCTGCCGATCTTGTAGCCGGGCGGCGTTCAGGGGAGGTGGTCCCTCTTGCCACCGGCATGACGCAACACCACCTGGAACACTAGTCCTGCGCACAACTTCGTCGTCGGTGGATCCCCGACTCGCCTCAAGTGGCAAACGCGCCAAAGTTCGACGAGAGTACGCCGCAGAGTGGTACATGCATGCGTTCCAGTATTGCCGCGTGCCAGCGTCGCGCTCGTTTCAAGACACTGCCAAGACTCGCTGATGACGAGGCGGCGCCACGGGAGTCCATTGGCGACTACGTTGGGGGGGGAGAGGGAAGAAGGATGGCGCAGGCGGCATCCTCTAGGCGGTATGACGCGTATCTTAGAGAGGAGCTGCAGGTTTTTGCAGTTTCGTTTGCCTTTATCTGCAGCCGTGGGCAAAATACACGAGACGTGCCTCTCGGTCATGGCTCCACGCCCTAAAGAAACCATGGAATGATTTTTCAGCTTTTTTTTTTTACAAACACCCCAGTTCATCTTCAGTGTTCCCGGGACCGGGAGCAAAAATCTGTTTTCATTTATCGCTTCCAGTTGTGTGTACACACAAAAAAAAAAAAAAAAAAAACTCGTCTTTTTTTTTCTTTTTTTTCACTTGACCGGACGCGGCCACCAACATTTGAACACAACACATGAAGTGTGCCTTTCTACCAGAAGCATAAATTCTCCTTGCCGAGCGAGGGAGCCGCGTTGGACACGAGCACTGCGCCACACAAACGTACGCGCTCGTCAACAATTGACCCGTCGATGAATATTTTAATTCGCGTTCGTGGCCAGTGAGTGCTGGGACGACACTTGTCATCGCTTGCAAACGACAAGTTCCGCGGTGTGCTCAAGAAGGACTGTGCAAGCTTGGAGTCTTTGTGCCGGTGCCCGTGTACTTTAGACCGCGCGATTTCTCATTTCGTTTTTGAGTTGAGGAAAACTGGGGAGCAAGAAATTGAAAAATCATTTCATGGTCTCTTTAACTGCGTGCAGCGAGTGGTGCCTTCTGCGACACATTGGAATCGTATTCCTTTGGAAATGTTTACATATTGCGAAATTTGCGGAGGGATCTGTGGACATTACGGGAAGATAGCCGGGCACGGTGGAGGCACGGTGCCTTTTTTCTTGGAGGATTCTTTACATTTGTGGTGCCCCAAACTTCTTGTTGTTCCGACAGCAGTAAACTCTCCTTTTCGCTCTTTCTTGTAAGCATTTGATTCCCCGTGTAGCTATTTTTGGTACCCTCACTGCGGTCAAATTTGATCGTTCGACTCAAGCTCCAGTGTAAATAAATTTAATTCTGATTGGGTCCTGTCCGAGATCGGTTTCTGCACGGTCATTCGGTCCGTTTGATTTGGGTGCCAACGACGCTTCCTTCTCTTTGTGCAGATTACTGTATGAAGATGATTGAGACCCAAAACTACACAACGCCGACTGCCATCCAGTCCCAGGGTTGGCCGATTGCACTCAGCGGCCGCGACATGGTCGGCATCGCTCAGACCGGCTCGGGAAAGACTCTGGCTGTGAGTCTGCCCTCCTTCCTTTCTTCTTCTTTCTTTTACTTTTTTTTTGAACAAGAAAAGGGTTGATGTGTCATATAATTCGAGAAACATTTCATCAGCATATTCGTTGCCCTAAAGGCCTTTTGACCCAAGTATATAACTTTCTTTTTTTTTCATAATGTATTAAAATACACTGTCAAGACACCGTCCAATTCATTCCTTTCGGTGGAATCTGATATTTGATGGGAGAAACAAAGATATTCAAACCAGAACCGGATAGTCACTTGGGTTCTCTGTCCTGTGGCTGCGCATTCAAAATTTTTTTCAAGTCTACATGTTCTTGGCGTATCAGTGGTAATAACATGATCACCGAAACACAGAGCTCATTACTTTTTATTTATGACTTGCCTCAAGTGGCTTGCTACTTCTCAAACATTTCAAGTTCCATGTGTCATCATTGCACATGAACATGAAAAGGGAGTGAGGAGAGCCCCAAATGTGGCCAGTCCTGGATTGGTCATTTTCTTGCAGAAAAACACGGGAAGTTTGAGTTGCAGGTATTTTTCTGGGTCATTGGGTCCTTTGCAGGATGTGCTTCTATGAAGATCTACCCGCACATGCCCCCCGTACCGCATTTTGGAAACATGTGGCGGCTTTGTGCGCATTGAGTTCGCTTTTTTTACCTTCTTAGCACCGAGTCCCTTAGTGCACTGCTTGGAAATGGGTACAGATGCCTAGAAGCAAAATTTTTATAGTGCCTTCTCTCCGTCCTCTGTCACAGTACATCTTGCCGGCGATCGTACACATTACCCACCAGCCTTACCTTCAGCGGGGCGACGGACCCATGGTAAGTCCCTTTCTCGCGTCGCCATCTGTTGGCAAAAGTTTGGCTGTGTTGCAGAGTCGGGTTGAGCCCACTCGTATCAGCGTGGTGCGCTTCATAGCCATCGATGGGATAAGAACGGCAGAGAGGTCTTTCGGATGTCCCACCTATAGCACAAGCTTTCTACCTTCTAGCCAAAGCGCAGTGGAGGTCAACGAGCGTGTACTGGAGGCCAGGCATTCAAGACGGACTCCCTGCAGTTCTTGCCCTGTCCGGGACATGTGTCATTGTCAGTGCCATTTACTGTAAAAGACAAACCCTAATCTTTCGTTGTTGTATAGTACTTTGTTAGGCCAGCTTTGGACGGGGCAGTGTCTCCCGGCAACTTGACGTCGCCACACCGGCGACACGGGCCTCCCGCGTGCACAGGCAGCAACTCCTGGAGCTCGAAATGCTCAGTTTCATTATCATCATTAATATTTTAAATGCATTGCACTATGTAGACGCGAAGTTGCTCATGAATAATGCGTTTCTAAATCTTTTGATGGCAAAAAGTATACTTATTGCATCTTCCTTCAACCACTTAGTCACGAAAACTATCTACAGCGGAATTTCGTTTATTCAAACTCTTAATTCAAACTTGCGGATGATCCAACTAACATGGAGGTCCCATCCTATGCGTTTCTGGGAAGGAAACTCCCGGAAATTTAAACTTCGCATTATTTAAACAAAGTTCCGGTGTCGCTCGGGTTCGAATTTGAGATTACACTGTATTCCGAATCTAAACTAGGTTCAACCTTTCCAGTTATCATCACCGCCACAAGAAGGGGGTCACATGAAGGTATAGGGTCTCCGATTGGCTGCTGCTGCTTTAAAGTTCTCAAAGTTGTTGGAGTTAATCGCCCGTTTCGAGCCGAACTTGATCCCAGCAATTTGTGTCTCAGCGCGAATATCTAGGGAGTTGTTAGGAACAACTCGCCAGCAACTCCGA